GCACCCCCTTACATGATTAAAGGGTTCTCTGCGTCATGAAAGCGTTGTTCAGATTGATGAAGAATGTGCTGTAGATGGTTCTATATAGAACCTTTTTGAACAGGGGTCTATATAGCATCAGAAAGGGTTCTTCTACGTTACGATGTCAAGCTTGTTACAATAGAAGAACCCTTTTCGAAAACAGAACCATATGCAACACATTCTCCATCAATCTCAAGAATCATTTCACCCATGCAAAGAACCATTTAAGCACACTCTTATAAAAGATGGTTCTCCAAGGGTTCTTTAGTCAAAAAAATACTTCTACATAGAACTGTGAATACTTAAAGACCCTTTGGATGACTAAAGGGTTCTTTGCATTGTCATAGGTTTCTTCAGATTGATGGAGAACATGCTGTATATAGAACCTTTTTGAAAAGGGGTCTATATAACATCCAAAAGGGTTCTTCTGTTGTAACAAACTTGTCATCGTAACACTAGAAGAACCCTTTTTTTTGTATAGAACCATATAGAACAACATATTCTCCTCTATCAATCTGTAGAACCATTTCACTATGCAAATAACCATTTAAGCGTGAAATGGTTCTAAACAGAGCCATTGCATTTACTGAAGAACCTTTTTTATAGGTTTAGTTACAGACTAGTTGCTGCAGTTGGTCAGTCTCTGACCACAGGAGCCTCAAGGGAGGGGTTTCTAATAAAATGGCCAGGAAGCTCGATCCCAGAATCACGTAGCACAAGTTAGTCAGCGGTTCTGCGTTTTCTGAGAAGGCGTCACTGTAGAACAGCAGCGGTCACCTCATAAAATCACTCAGGAATCACCAGAGCGGCTCTCAAAGCATCAACGGACAACATAAACGCTCCATTACGGTCGTCCTGCTGAGGCCGACTGTGTTTTGGGGAAAATGGGCCTCAAACTGGGCCTTAAACTTTTCAGACAGTTAATGAGGGAAATGGTTTTGCCTTCTGAACGCAGCTCTGCCTGACCTTAAAACAACGTGTACGTTTCCTTTTCCTGTTCTAACAGTCCGACCATGAAACATGCATCTTCTTAACTGCCTTAAAGCAAGTTTGAGAAATGTCTCACATTAATATAATATTGTGATATTTAATAATATTAATCTATTATTCTAATCACCATTAATATTTATGTGCATTTCTGTTTTCTACTGTCAGATTATTTGTATCTCTCAGTCCTAAATTCCCATTAAACGTCTGTTGGCTCTTATAAATGTGAATGCTTTACAAGCAGTTCTGCACTTGTAATTCATTTTTTAAATGTTTTTTTCATGTCAGACTTTTAACAATATTAAATGTGAACATCCACTTGCTGAAGTGTTGGTGTTTTTGTAGTACCTGCTCTGTGAGGGTCCATGGGGGTCCTGACCACTGAAGAACAGGGTAAAAGGGGGCTAACAAAGTATCAGAGAAACAGATGGACTACAGTCTGTAACTGTAGAACTACAAAGTGCACCTATATAGTAAGTGGAGCTGATAAAATGGACAATGAGTGTAGAAAAAAAGAGGTGGTCATAATGTTATGCCTGATCGGTGTGCGTGTGTATGTATGTATTATATATGTAGATACACACATATATGAAAACGGGTACACTCACACATATATACATATATAGAAAGAGCAGTTTTTATTGGTGGATGAAAGCACAATATGTGATGAGTGTAACACAAAAGAATTTCCCAGGAGTCAGTAAACAGCAACGCCACAACACACACACACACACACACACTTCAGCACACCACAACACACACACACACTTCAGCACACCACAACACACACACACACGCAACCTCAGGTTCTCTCAGCAACATCATTCACAGACGACACTAGACGACTCACACACACACATACTGGCACTGGAACACGTTTACAGAGATCACAGCATCGTCAGTCCTAGTGTTTTTGCTTTTTGTTGTTGTTTTCTCATTTTTTTTAGTGCATAAATTGTTTGGTTTGAGATACAAAAAAACAAAAACTGTTCTCTCCTCATAACTGCTTAACTATATATGCAGAGAATAAACATCGGAGCTGTACATCATCATACACTTATCATACATAACGTTATCATACACGAAGGAATTAAAAACACCCCAACTGTCACTCAAAAGTGTTGCCTGGCAACTTTGAGCCATCCCAGACCCCCTTGAGACATCACAGTCCAGTCTTGCACACTGATGCTGAGGGGACGGTAAGCGGTCATCGGAGGTCACTCGCGCACGCACACAAACACAAATGCCAGATCTAAATCTCCGGACTTGGACGTTACTGAGAAAGTCCGCAGGGCAGACGGGTCTAATTCGCCCCGTTCCTGTTGGTCAGACTTCAGAATTAGTAGCTCAGGTTAATGTTGCACAGATTTTGGGCGTCAATGTCAACCACGGAAGTGAGTCGCGCTGAAGTGCCCTCCCTTTAGCGCTTGCAGCCACACAGCCTTGCCGATTTGTCATGACGACATTGAGCACTTCAGTGAACGTCACCAAACGCAAGTCCAAAGCTGGTGAGACCGGCGGCCACGGGGCCGGAGTCTGGAGATTTAGACGGGCGGAAAAAACAGAATCCAGTTTAACCCAAAGGCTCAGTCTCTCCCACATGAGTTCAAAGTCTTTCCTCATTTCTCGTTGCATTATATCGAACAAGAAGTCCCGAATCCCAGCAGTCGTCCGACAGGGAAAACGTTCTGTCCGTTCGGGGCGTTTTAAGTCCACTGGTTTGAGTCTGTATGAGTGCAAGCGTTCATCGCTGATGCAGACACAGTGATCGAGGTTGACTGAACCCTCCCAAACTCCTGCATGTTCCACTCACAAACACACAAATAATGCGCATATACAAGTTAGGTCTTACACTGTGCGTGTGTGCATATATCTGTATTGGGTTCAGCTTCTCCTCTTGGGAAAGAATATTGCATTTGCATCAGTCTTTTTAAGTCCTTTTAAGGTTTAATTTGTATGTCCACTGAAAAGTTTTCTCTAGCTGCTATTCTCTCAGTTCTCAAAAAGGTTCTAGCATACCATTCTCCCTCTAAGTTTTCTCCTCGCGCTCCGTCTTGCGGCGCGTGATGTTCCGCGGCTTGATCTTTAACGAGAGCTCCCACAGCGCCTCCTCGGCGAGGTGATCGCTGAAGTCGTTGAAGAAGGAGATGATGTCCTCGTTCCGTTTCAGCTCGTAGTGCCTGCACACAGAGAGGGGAACCGATTCATTAGATATTTCAATAGTCAGTTAAGCAGCATAAATGTATGATTTACTTAGTGATTCTAACAGCGGGAATAAAAGCAGGTTGGTGAAGAAGGCCGGGAGGGTGAAGACCAGCACAAGCTTCCTTTGAGATACCAGAATCCCCACTGGACCTTTTCAAACTGCTGCTAATGCAACACTGGACACTTCAACACGCTGTTCTGTTACATCAGCTAGGAAACACCTGAGTTGGCCAGCGTCACACTGAGTGATGGGAAGAGGCAGGACCACCGCCACCCACCCAGAGAGACAGAGGACAGCTATGATCTCTTGTACTTTCACTTACGGATGGCTGTGGCATCTCCCAACAACAGGGCCACCAATCGAGAGCTTCATATGATTAAACTATTTAAATGAAATGTATATTTATATTTTACATATAGAAAATCGTTAATTGTCATGGCAAAACCCAGTAGCTCTATTTTAATTTATTTTTATTTATTTATTCCTTTTTTTTACATAAATTGTAAATTCCAGTTACCCTTTGCATTGTGTCAAAATGTCGTGATGAACGGACCAGTGGGCCAAAAAAATCAATTACTTGTTACAACAGCTTCCATTCCAAGTTAAGCTTTTTCCTCCTCCTGTAAAGTTATCGTTTTGTAAATATGAGTTTCTGTTCCGAGAGCGAGGATATATATATATATACATATTTAAAACAATACCGCCACTTTAACTGCATCACTGCACTGTTACTGTACTTAATGTCCTGGTATTATTGCACTATGCATGTTTGTACAGTCTATTACAGCATTATTCATATCTGCAGACTGTTACTGTACATGTTTTACTCTACATGCTTATCATTTTACATTTGCTGCTCTCACAGTACAGAATACCTACATTTATATTCATTATATTTTTATAATCTATATTTTTTTTACCTTCCACTATCCTTAATTGTACATACTGTAACCACAGCATCACTTACCGCAGTTACTTTCCTGCATTTTATATGTAAATTATACTGTATTTTGCGGTTCTGGTTAGATGGCTTTATTCGTTGGCTCTGTACCTGAACTCTGCACAATGAAGGTTAATCTAATAATGTAATATAAACAATAACAGTCCATTTACAGTAATATCTTGTGAACAGCTATTTAATCAGCCAGACTTGGTCACTGCTTTGTGAAAATAACGAATTCTGATCATTAATTTTATTGTAAATTATTTCTCGGTGTCATACAGCTTTCTCAATCACTCTGGAACCGTCTATCGTTAATTTTCACGGCGTCCTACAAAAGGGTTGAAATCTACAGAACAGCAGAATCTCTCAGAATTAATTTACACATGTAAACGCAACAAAATCGGTTCTATACTATTGAAATCATTCCGACCATGATACACATTCGCTCCTTCAAACTCCTCTGCTGTCCACACACTTAGTCGTGGCAGTAGATTCTGTTGACAGGTGCTCTGATGTCCTCTATGGCCTGAGTTTGTACGTTTTCAGTGCGCTGGTCAGTGTCGTTTGCGTACTTGTGTTACACTGAAGGAGGATAAGAACTGCAGGAAGTAACCGAGAGAGGATCACTCACACTTGCTGGAAGCGTCTCATGCTGTCCAGGATGTTGAACTGCTGCCAGCGCTTGGAGAAATTCACCTTTCCATCAATCAGGTCTGGGTTCCCCAGGTGGACGAACGTCAGGTCCTGCAGGATCAACCCCCTGAGGAGAGGGAGGAGGAGGGGGGGGGCATTTAAACACACTCATTTAAACACAAACAGCTTCATCATCTACATCAGCTACATTATTTGGCTGTAAATGAACTGAAATAGGTCAGAAATGCGCTTTGGAAACAAACAGGCACACAAACTCACAGGTACGGGATGCAGGGAGGCTCCACATCAGCTAACGCTGCTCTGTACGCTCGGAAAGAGGATGAGCTGTCGATCAGCGTGCAGTATTCCTCCAAACCCTGAGAGAGAGAATAAAAATTACTCATTAACTCATTTATTTACACTGGAGTGAAAATCTTGGACTGTGTTCACACAGCGGGTAAAAGTGGCCCAAATCCAATCTTTTCCTCATAAGTGAATCAGATGTGTGTCTGTGTGTCAGTGTGAACAGATAAACACACTGAATCTGACATTTTCAATTCTGATTTGAGACGCTTTCCTATGTGGTGCTGAAATCCGATGCGTATCCAATCGGCGGCAATGCGACTCTGTCTGAACAGCCGGATTAGAATTCATGCGACTTTTAGGTCAATCCAGCTCCACATTCCTCATAATTTCGCGCTGCTGAGACTCATAAACATTTAGGCTGATGTTTCTGTACAAAAATTTGAAGAGACTCATCCAAATCCCTCCATGTTTGAAGAGGTTTTGAAAGAAATCGCCGAACGTGGCTGCAGGAGAACGAGGCTGCAGCGTCAAAGAAGTTTAAAGAATCCGAGGACGCGAACCAAAGAAGTGACCGCGCCCTTTTTACGGCTCGAACACATTCTGGGTGATGAGCCCAACTGTCAGTCAGTGAAGCTTCATGATGGCTCCTGTGATGCTGGTGAAGATGAAGCTGATCCTCCGGGAGCGACTGGCGTTCGTTGGCGGTCGTGATTATTTACCTCTGGATGAGCCGGGAAGCAGCGTGACGCTCTGTTCTTTTGTGCATGTGGGTCAGTTTAGGAGCTGATCAGTTCAGACTGATGTTGCATACAGATCACATTTAAAAGATAATCTGAACAGCCAAACAAAAAAAATCGGATTTGGTGAGAAAATCAGATTCGGGCCACTTTTACCTGCTGTGTGAACGTAGCCTTATTTAATTTCAGCAGGACATTAAGACTGACCTCTGATGTCTGCTTCTGCCACTCAAGCCTCCTGATGGGTGCAGAGTCCAGAGCCGACAGAATGGCCAAATACGAGTTGAAGTTATTCAGCTTCCTCAGGTGCTACAAAGAAGAAACAGATCAGAACAATAAAGAAATCATTCCTTATTATTTGTTCAGAAAATCTGATCATGTTTTGATTTTAAACGTGATGAACTCTGATGTGAACATGTGCTGGTTGAGAAGAGACGTTCCTTTACCTTCATGATCTTAATGAACTTCAGCAGAAGCTTCTCCCTGTCCTGAGCTTTCTCCTGCTGGATGATTATAGAGCGCACCCTGGTGGACAGGCAGACATAGAGCAGTCAGTGATCTCAAGCATAATCTCAGAAGATTAAAATCTCCAACTTTTCAGGTTTAAGAATTTCATCAATCTCTTAATGACGACCATGTTTTTTCCTCCTCAAAGCATCCACAGATCTTCTCTATGGCAGGTGGGGTTGCCAAGTCTAGCAGAAATCTCCAGCCCAAAGTTCACTTAAAACCTGAAACTATCATTTTCCTCCATGACTGCGTTTTCAAATTAGCTTGATTTGGCAGGAAAATCACACACCTGGCAACCTGATGGCAATCGCTGTAGCCAACACTTCACAGCAAAACCAATGAAAAGTAAAAGCGCATGATTTTGCACCCCCAATCAGAACTCATGAAAAACGGCCACAGTGTGGAAAACTCTCACATACGGATGGAATATCCATGAAATATCGATAGCAGAAATAAGGACATCACATGACTGCAAAGGGGAAGTAAAGGGGGATAGTTTTGGCCCTTTTTTTGCATTCCCTTTGCATCCCCCCTTCAGCTGAGCTCTGTGTAGGATACAGGATCCATTCTGACCTGGCTTGTTCTGGCTCAAATTAAAGGGGCGCTGACCTCATGCCGCCTCTCTTTGGCGCTGGCGCATCCTCTCATCAGTTCAATGGAATGTGATGGGTTCAATCTCATTTGTGACGTACAAAACTAAGCTGCTACACAGCGCTCCACAAATTGCTTTGTCCAGATGCACTGAGAAAGTCTGAGTGTTTCAACTCTGTGCTACAGTAACACATCTGACACAAATATCCGTCTGTGTAATCATAATAAGCCATCCAAGACGAGTTAACCATTTAAATAACACATTTAACGCCTAAAAAGGGTGTTTACCAGTAGCTCATGTTGTTAAAGTGCTCTGTAAACTGAGTCAGATTGGGACTCTTCTCCTCATTCTGCTCCTTCGCCCACAGAAGTACCTCTGGAATCTAGACAGAGAAAGACAGAGAGAGGGAGGAACAGAGAGAACGCATCATGTCAAAATTACGCTGTTGTCCAGCTACAGTGTCCTCACACAGCCCCACTGGGTACGTGCCGTGTTCTAGAGCGAGTGCTTACCTCGATCTTGTAGAAGAGTTCAGCGTCCAGAAGCGTGAGCTGGTCGGCGATCTCATGGCTCCGGAAGTCATGCAGCGTTCCGGGTCTGCAGGGAGAAATACAGAGTTACACAGAAGCGTGAGCAGAAACGCACGTCCACAGAGACACCGGCTGACGTTTGGGGGCGTCCCTACCTGGCCGAGACCCCTCGTGCGGCGAGCGGTTTGAGGATGTGTGTGTGTCGCAGTAGTCTCTTCTGTTCCACTTTATCTAGAATGTTCTTGCGGAGAACCCGAGCCAGGCTGAGTTCTCCGTTACACACCAGCCGGAACACCAGCTCCATCAGCTGCCTCAGGATGTCCTCCGTCAGCTCCACCAGACTGAAACAGACAGACTTCGAGATCAGCGTAGACACTCGAGCGCATACACACACACACACACACAGACACACACACACAAACACACACACACACACACACACACACACACACACACACACTCACACACAAACACACACAGACACACAGACACACACACACACACAGACACACAGACACACACACACACAGACACACACACACACACACACACACACAGACACACAGACACACACACACACACACACACAGACACACACACACACACACACACACACACACACACAGACACACACACACAAACACACACACACACACACACACACTCACACACACACACACACACACAGACACACACATATTATATATATATATATATATATATATATATATATATATATATATATATATATATATATAAATGTAGTACAGTGTATGTATTTTTTATATAGTATGTATATTTATATAAAATGGATCGTTCTGGTCCTAAACTCTGATTGGCTGAGCCGCGTTCGAAGCCATTGTAAATCTACAATATACTCACAGCTATGACGCCTCACAGCAACTGAGCTCTGTATCACTGCACACAGCACGAAAACACTTCTGCTGTTAATGGAATAGTCTTTGACTTTCGTGCTGCTCACATGGACCACCGAGTGCACTGTGAGCAGAAGTCAGAACCCGTTTTCTGTTTAAACTGAGGGGCTGACAACTTACGTTTTTTACTAGAACTGGGCTGGTCAGCTAGCTAACAGGCTAAAAGAGCCAACAGCCTAAACAGCTCCATCATAATATCACAGGCTTGACTTAAAGTACTTACGGTGTCATTAACAGTAAAACTGCAGTATAAAAGTCTAAAGAACGTCACTTGAATGACTGACACACTTCAAATGTTCATGTTTCAGTCAGAATTTGCGTCAAACCCAGGCTGAATCCCAAACGGCTCTGTACTCCCTAAGTAGTGTTCTAGCTATGAGAGTTTAGAAATTCTAGCTTCAGTGCATCATTTATCGAGTGTGGATGTGTCTGAATCCCAAATGACTGTTTCTTAGCTGTATTTTGCTCTGTTGGGCTGCAGGATCCAGTATTTAAACTCCTATGTAGTGCACTATGTTGGGAGTTTCGCGCCGTGTCTAAGAACCCCCTTCCCGTGATAAAATCGCAGTAACGCACTGCCCATCGTGGCTTATTGCTTTACTATACAGTGAATAAGTAAGTAATGCAGTAATTTAATGAAGTATTGATTGGCCAAACCAGGTACTGGATAATAACTACAATTAATACTGGGCTGCTTTGAGGACAGGTTTAAAAACAGTTAACATCAAATCAATACTTAGTGTACTAGTATTATTCGTCTTTACTGTCTTTATTCTAATATTTGTGCTTTTCTGAGCAAATAAACACTTACGGCCCAGAGAAATAGATTTTTAATTTTATTTATCTCTATTTATGATATTTTTCTTTTGGGTGTCTGAACTTGCACTGTACTGTACATCTACAGAATCAAGACATTTTAACAAAATTTTATTGAATCTTACACTCTATTACAACGTTCACATGGTAGAAATTCTTTACGTGTTTTTAAGGTTTGAACTGATTTAAAATATTGATTTTAGTTCAAATTATTTGCTCTGCATTGAACAAGCCCAGTTAACCAGCTCGTTACCACATAACTGTATTTAGGATTGTTACAGTTTAAGGAAAGACTGACCACGTTGATGATCACGTGTGGTTTAATTCTGCAGCCCTACAGTGATGAAGTGCACTCACCAGAGCTCGTCCACCACCCTCACCAGCACGAAGAACGTGTTCTTACTGACGCGCTTCTTAAACGTGTCTGGACTGTGGCAGAAGTGAGTGTATGTGCACCGCAGTTAAGGAACAAAGCATTTACAACAACAGTCCCCCCTCACCCGCACTTACACAGCACACACATCAGAGCGTCACTCAGAGCTCAAACTCCACTCCAGAATCAGAGAACAAGCGCTCAGCGTCTGAGCCACAAAATTCATTCTTATTCAATTTATTTTACGTACGGCTGCCCAATCAGAATCCTGGAAACGGCCACAGCTTAAGTGATTAACATAAATTACCATTCGTGCAGCAATATGGACAACAAGACGATTTACTTATATAAAGATCTTATTAAAGAGTGATGAGAATGTACAGCATAGGGCAGGGGTCGGCAACATGCGGCTCTTCTACTGTCCCTGTTGTGGCTCCACAGCAGAATCAGATTAGTAGGTAAAAATAAAATAATCCTCCTTTACAGTAAAATAAAGCTCTGCTGATCGTTCAACACAGTTTAACAATAAATGGTCTTAAACTCTGGAGTTAATGTAGAACTGCTGATTCACCCTTTAATCCTGAAGATCAGTGCAGACTGCTGCAGATGAAGTCAGTTTCTTGTTCTCATGTTAAATGGTGCAGCGGTTACATTCTGGCCTCAGGCACCATTTAAGATGGAACCGGAAAATTCAAACAAGAAGCTGGCGAATGAGAAGCGACTTCGGCTTCATAAAAACTGAATGTTGAGACATTTTAGAGGAAACTGTTCTACTTTTGTGGAAAAGTTTCCTGCTGGAGATGTGAGAAAAGCGGCTATAGCTGAGCTAAAGCTTAAAGCAGAGCAAAGTGAGTTATTGTTTATATTATATTTTTAGCCTATACTAGGACATTAGCATGTACTGAGACATATTTACAGCCAAGATGGACATAAAATGTAGTGGCTCCCAAAGTGGTTTGATTTTTATTGGAAATGGCTCTTCTTACCATTTGGGTTGCGACCCCTGGCTTAGGCGCAAACACTGTATGTACACTGTATGCAGGCTGTAGCAGTCACACTGCTGCATCACCCACCATGCGGACTCGGCATGCGTGGTGAGACTCTGACTCAAAATCAGACACAATGAATACCGAAACAGTGATTTCCGTATCCGAACACTGGCACCTCGAGTGTTTAACCCGAGTACTTGGGTACGTGTAAACATCCGCACTCTGCACCCCTCACATCCTGTGTGTTAAATGCACAGGAGGTAAAAGTCCCACTGGTCTCTCTCTTTTCCACACATGAACAGCCACATTCCCACACACAGTCCGAGTAAAGGATATCTGTAGTGTAGTTTCTTGATGAGGTCTTCAGGTGTGATGAAGGTTCTGTATGTAGTCAGAAAAGCTTCACAGTACAACACCAAATCTGAAACACAAACACAGAGTTAAAAACCACGAAATAACCTTCTCACAAAAAAGACCAGAGGCCTCATTCATCTAAGGCTACAATCACACTGCCAGTCTAAACTGGTACAGATACGTTTTCAGAGCTGTCTGGACACACAAATCTGATCTGAGCCGCTTTGTCTACGTTCACATTACAAGCCTCGTCATTAATTTCCTTTCAATTTCTACCTTGGCGGTTCACATTCGGGTACGTGACTCTTGCGTCCTGAAACGACCTGCATGTGCACATCCTAGTCTACGTCACGTAGATCATGAACAAAAACAAACCAGCAGAACAAGCCTTTGTCACGACGATAACTCACTCTGAACCACTTTCAGCTCATTATAAGAGCAAGACGAAGGCAAAAAAGTGTTAGATGTGTTGCTTCTGTACTGTTTCCTGGCATGAACCTCAGGTTCGGTGCTGCTGCCACAGTAACACAATGATTGCGCACGTGCACAGCAAAGAGAACACATTAATTCTGACCTGAGCGTTCTCACTGAGGCTGTATGGCTGCAAGGCTGCAAATTGGATAACATCTGATATAGGATCACATCAGATTCGATTCTAAGGCTACGTTCACATTCGCAGGTTGAAGTGGCACAAATCCGATTTTTTGCCCTAATGTGACTCAGATCGGATGTTTTCAGGGCTGTGTGGACACACAAATCTGATCTGTTCAAATCCGACCTGAGCCACTTTCATATGTGGTCCTAGATTCGATACGTATCCGACGCATGGCCATGCGACCTTAATGTGAAGCTCAGGTCAAAGTTCATGTGGTTTTTTTCCACTGCGTGTGCACCATCATTCAGCGTTACCATGACAACAGTGCCGAACAGAAGTTAAAGCCTGTAAACAGAGGAAAAGCAGCTCATCTCACCTTTTTCTCGTTCACATTAATGACAGATTTGAATCACGTACCTAAACGAGTGTGAACCATCCTGTCAGAGAGATCAGATTTGAGCAAAAAACTGGATGCGAGCAATGAGGCTTGTAATGTGAATTTTGCTTAAGTGGCTCAGACCAGATTTGAAAAGATCAGATTTGTGTCACGTTAACGCAAAAAAAACCCAAAAAACCCAAAACAAAACAAACAAACAAAAAAAACTAGATTTGTCCCACTTCAGCTTGGTAATGTGAACACAACCTTTTATATATGTGGTCCTAGATTGGACACACATCAAGACTGAAAATTTAAGCAATAGCCATTTTCTACTGAGCCACTCATTAACTGACAGAGTGACTGACTCATACTAATTGCTGAAAAGGGAATGCACAAGCACTGTTCAAGATAAACTATAGGTGGCGCTCTACACCTGCTTAAAATGAAGTGACAGCAACAACATCTGTCCACTAATCACACATTTTGAAAGATGTCAGGATGCGTGGTTTCTGTAAAATCCAGATAAATATATGAAAAACTGTCGGTGGGCGAAAGCTGTGAGAGCATTACAGCATCAGAACATCAGACGACATCAAGCGCCTGGAATGAGTGAAGCTAGCGCTCATATTCATTTCATGGGTTTAGGCAAAAACAAAACATTGAATAAAATTAAAAATTCACATTATATTTACGGTTATTACTGTTCAATCATTTGTTGCTGAAGTGTTCAATGATTATTGGTGTTATTGTGTTTATTGTTGTTACTATTAAGAGGATTAACTGATTTGATATTATTCAAACAATACCAAATAAAACAGATTTCCCATAGTGTGCAGAGCAAAAGACGCCTGAAGATTCAGTCACTTATTAAAAAATGATGGAGGTTTCGTTTGAAAAATATATAAAAATCGTACACATTTTCTAAAGGAATGTAAGGCTGCAGCAGATCAGACGAATATAAAATTTCATTAATGGTTTAATTTCATTTCAAAGGCACCGTTACAGCTGATCCTGATGTGGGGACAATTGTAACAAACAGGCACTTTATCTTTACACTTATTGAGGAAATATGAACTATATGCAGAAGTGTTTGACCCATTTCGTTAGCAGACGCATCCAGAAAAATCGGATGATTCTCACCTAAAAAAATTGCAGTGTTACAATTACCTGGTCTACCCTACTGCTTGTGAAAGCACGAGAGAAGCTGAACTGAACTGTACATGTCAGAATTTACAGTCGTGTGCGAGAGCTTCAACATCTCCGGTCACGTCTTCAACAGGGCACAGACTTAATTATGACTTTTTCTGCCGATTTTAATATTTTGGGGGAAAAGAAAAACATAAAATGGCACAAACCACATTTTATATGTTTTATTTCTTCCCCAATATGTCAAATTCAGCAAATAATCAGTAACTGTGTACTAAATGTGCAGAAGTGTGTTCACTGTAGAGGATGTGTTCACATTTTCACAATGGTGTCACTTCGCCAGGGGTGCCCAAACTTTTGCTTATGACTGTGGCTATTTCAACTTTCACCAGAACCAACTTTCAATTCTTACATGAAATAAATAAACTTGACAGTGTAATAATTACCTTTTTAACTAGTAAGAATTGTGTACTTTTGTCACCAGTGTAATTTTTACTGAATTACTGAACGTTACATTAAAATTCACCCTCCCATTAAAACGAACTGCATACACACGGCTGATGAATGAGACCCCAGAACAGAACCGAGTCTTTCTAACATAAACACGGCCGTACACGCAAAATAAGTTGAATAACCCGTTATAATACAGAATTAACAGATTTTAAGCGACACGATAAAAAGTATGAGCGATGAAAAACAATAACTGTGGTGGAGATTTACCTTTGCGATCCGTTTCGGTGGCGTGGACTAACAGAATGTCGCTGGAGCCGGCTCTAACATCAGGCCCATCATCGCCCTATCAGAGAGAGAGAGAGAGAGAGAGAGAAAATCGAGAAAGAGAGAGGGAGAGAGAGATATTACTGCAGACCAGTCAAGCCTTGCCCAATGAGCCAGCTCCCTAAAATACTGCACCAGCTGAGAGTGTGTGTGTGTGTGTGTGTGTGTGTGTGTGTGTGTGTGTGTGGACTGATGTCTGCCTCTGCAGAGAAACTCTAACCGCCTTTAAAACTAACACAGACATAAACACACGTGCACATGCAAACAAACGCTCTCCAAACTCCGTCTGAGTGCAAAACTCTGCTGTATGAAATATAAGCCGTGTGTATTAGACGTGGACACACACACAGCTGCTGTTGGCAGACTGCTGCAGCCGTGGCACACACTCTGAATGCAGTATGAGTGAGACTCTGCTGAGGAGCAGTAAACTCCAGAGGGCAGCAGGGGGCAACACTGCACCGAGAGACAGTTCACTCAACAATCAGCAAAGTAATAAAAACTGCTTAAAACTTCAGGCCCACAATCAGGTAGAAGTTCTTTTAAAAGGCTTTTATATTCTCCCTATTTTATTTTTTACCACATTTGTGTGGTTTTATGTTTAAAAATGTTCCAATTTCATTTTTATCTGGCCATCTTCATTCCTTAGAACTGAACAGGATATTTTTGTTGCCTTTAAGACTGATATATGTAAATGAGCTCTGTTCTGATTGGCTGCCTTATTTTTGTCGTTTCTCAGTTTTTGACCTAGTCTGAAAATGCCTGTTACCCTTTACATTGTATTTAAATTTCATGATGAATGAACCAAAAGAAACGACCTAAAATGACTTTGAAAAGCATCTGGTTCCACTGACTTACATTAAAAGTGAAGTATGTTTTTTCCTTCTCCTGTAAAGTTACCATTTTGGAGATGCGAGGTTTTGATCCGACAACAGTGATATATGTCAGTGTGCTGGTCGTGGTGACATCGCAGAACGATTAATTCAAAATGGGCTGTTTTTGCAGCACAGTTTCCACATATGGCCTGTATGGACTGGGTAGTAAACGGCACACTTTGAATCTTGAACAACATTTATATACTACTTCAAACTCCTTTTCTTCAAAACTTGCCTTGCACTGTATAGCACAGAGGTCAGCAGCATGCGGCTCTTTTCCTGCCCTGTTGTGGCTCCACAGCAGAATCAGATTTGTAGGTAAAAATAAAATAATCCTCCTTTACAGTAAAATAAAGCTCTGCTGATCGTTCAACATAGTTTAACAATAAATGGTCTTAAACTCTGGAGTTAATGTAGAACTGCTAATTCACCCTTTAACCCTGAAGATCAGCGCAGACTGCTGGTCACCGTAGCAACACAGACAACAGTTTCGCCTAACTAGTAGCTACAAAACAGCAAAGAGGAAGATTTTAAGATGAACATTGATAATTTGCTGATGAATGGACTAATTTGCATTTATAGTCACTCCAGCTGGTTTCCTGATACGTTTAATCTGCAACGAGAAACTGTCAAACACTAAAAAGTCAAGAGGCTGAAGTCCTGATCTCGTTCGCCAGCTTCTCGTTCTAATTTTCCCGTTCCACCTTAAAATGGTGCAGCAGTTGCATTCTAGCACCTCAGGCATCATTTAATGTGGAACGTGAAAATTGGAACAAGAAGCTGGCGAATGAGAAGCGACTTCGGCTTTGTAAAAAGTCGAACATTGAGAGACATTTTAGAAGAAACTGTTCTACTTTCGAGAAAAGTTTCCTGCTGGAGATGCGAGAAAAGCAGCTAAAGCTGAGCTAAAGCTTAAAGCAGAGCAAAGTGAGTCTGTGTTTTCATTTATATTATGTGTTTTAGCTCATACTAGAACATCAGCACATACTGAGACATATTTACAGCCAAGATGGTGAAACGTTACTGCAAGAAAATGGACATAAAATGTTGTGGCTCCAAGGTGGTCTGATATTTGACAAAATGGCTCTTCTTAAGATTTGGGTTGCTGACCCCTGGTATAGCATATTGCTATTATACTGCTACATACTACAAATTGTGATTTGACTTCCAATATTTTAAAACCACACTGACTAATGGCAGACCTGCATTATTCTGACCAAAATTATTTCAGTTTATTGGATGATGCCTTTATTTATTTATTTATTTATTTATTTAAGCACTCACAAAAACTCTGGAACTGAAGTTGCTCAGTTGAAGCCCGCCGCAAAAAAAACTGATTTGATATCTTTCTGCAGGTTTGGATATTGGAGAGCAAAAATATGATCAAATACTGTAACAAATCTATCCTGAAATGGCACTCACTCCCACTGGATGATGTTAGCTGTGTAGTTATTACTGTGGGGCCAATACAGTTACTGAGTAGTTTCAGCATCATAGACGATTCAATTTAGAACAGCTTATTTTAAAGCTTAGTAGTTTTTAAAGAAAGCAAGGTCAGATTTGTATCACTAACGGTCAGCACTCTAGGTTTTAATACCAGTATTGGTAAATAAAAATTGTGTTGTACCATCTCTTGTATAAAAAAACTAGTTTTTTAAGGGCCCTACAGTGAACGGAGGTGGCTACGAAGAGTGCCAGTGCTTTGCTGATGTTATAAGGCATCTATAAAGGCCGGTACCTCTGCTTTAAGAGTGATGCGATTCATGATCTCTTTGTGATCCACGAGAGTCAGTTCATCAACGTCCTCTTTAACGTGGTCCGAGTCTGTCGACTTCAACCTGAAACAAAAAGACTTGTGTTAGGCGCCAGCGCAGCCATACGAGCTCGAGGAAGACTTTTCATGCCGAGCTGCATCCGTACCTGTCTTTGGCTAAAGCCTCCTTGCTATTGGACGGGGGTATGTGGGGGGCAGGGTCCTGAATAACGACATCATCACAGTGTTCGGGTGTGTCCTGGAGAAACAGTGGAAAAGACAGCATGCTGAGCATGTATGCAGCACTCTTACCAGAGCTGCAATTCATGATTATTCACTACTATTCAAGTAACTGTTTCAAGTAACTTCTGTGTGCGAAGTTTGTAAATCATAGGCTTTGTCCACACGATGGTCTATTCAGGTGCGGTGTGAGACACCAAACAACAAGATTTATTAAAATCATACAAAGTATAGATCACTGTCGTGTCGGCATTTTGTAGTTGACGCCATGCTCTTATGCCCATATTAGGAACTCCGGGTCCAAGCTCCATTTCTCGCCAGCTTCTTGTTCGAATTTTCCATGCCACCTTAAATGGTGCAGCAGTTCCATTCTGAACTGCAACCTTTAAGGTGGAACGGGAAAATCTGAACAAGCAGCTGGCGAAAAAGAAGCTGACTTCAGCTTCATGGAGAGTTGAAAAGCATCATATGAGCAGGTTTCTCTATCTCTGCTTGACAGCTGAGTAACATCAACTTATTTTTGCTGTTTCACAGAACCGACAGGTCAGTATTGTTTTGTCCCGTTTTGCTAATGTTGGTGATAGTTAATCCCAACTGCTCCCAATTTAAGGTGGAATGGAAACATTCAAACAAGAAGCTGCGAAAAAGAAGCTAAAGTCAGCCTCATAGGTTAAGCATTGGTAGTATTTTCTAAGAAGGAGGTTTAACATATCGAAATATCCTACGTACAGGTTTTATTTACAGGTATACCTGTAAAAATGTGCTACGGTAGAACATTTCAATAAGGTAGCACAGCTCGTCAGAGCACCGCCACAGCCTTGGTTTCGTGTAGCTTAGTGACATCAAATTGATGCGCAGTAGCTTTAGCATGTAGCAATATTAGAATTAAGGCTCTTTAACGACCTCGTAATTCGGAGGATCCAGTGGTATTCAGGAGAAACATGTTCACAGGACAGAACGTATCGGGTTCTGAATATTTTTATTTAACAAAGGGGGCGATAGAGGTGATTTTTCAAAAACCCTCTTCATTCTGGCCATAGAGAAATGGAGCTCAGACCCGGAGTTCCTAACATGGGCATAACGAGGACTACAGAATGACGCACGACTACAGTGGTCTATGTCCGGATTGAGAGAACATTCAACTACAGCTCAACCAGCCAATCAGAAGACTCCAAAAAGACATAAAACTTGTATGCTATAGCCTCAGGTGTGACTGCTGTTCTCACTGTGCCACCGAGACTGTTGTTAAAAGAAAATGATGAGGATCAAAACTATGAAACATTCTTTACTTACAGTTGTACAGAAGAGATTTACTGACGTGGAGCAAAACCTGCTGTTCTCCACTGCATCGCTACAGGATCCAAAGTAACTAATGTAGCATAGCTAGCTAATACACTTCATTTAATATCAGTTATTTTAAACATTTTAAACTGTTAAGGTACACAGCACACTTTCACGCTTACAACTGTTTAATTCTAAGTAGATTATCAGTATGGTATCTGACTTGGTATCGACGAGTACTTAAAAACTTGTACTTGGTCTGGAAAAAAAAATGGTACTGATGCATCCCTAGTTATAATACAGATGAATGTCTGACTCTAGCCACTTAGATTTTTTTTATTAAAAGTAATTTTCAAGCTTTCAATTACAATCAAATTCGGATTTCTTAATGTTTTGTTGAAAATCAGTAGAACCATGTGACCAAAACACTTGAAAAATCAATCTGAAAAATCAGTTCAAGTGATTGGAGCTTGGAGAGCATGTGGAGCAAAGGAAAATTACCATTCCAGATAAGGACATTAACAGATTAAAACACTCCAAATTAACCGCCCTTGTGAGCCAACGTTGACCCATGAGTCCCACTTTGGGCAGCGCTTTAATGGACAGCAGTTCTGTTTTCTTTAAGTTCTGTTTGAGTAAACCACATACGACAGTACTAAACCTTCTATACTAATGAATGCTCTTCTCATGGTGGTGCACTATTTTTGCCATACTATTTAGTATGGCGGTATGCAGTTTTGGACACAGCCATTATGTTGAGTCTTCCACAACTGACTTTGTTGATTCATTGTTGGATCCCTGCTTCTCACACACAGGTACTCACCGAGTGGTGTGTAGTGTCTCCGTTGGCCTGAGTGGTGGAGTACAGGTTCACATACTCTCCCTCTCCACCTTCATCATTGGCACTCTCGCTCTAAAGGGAGAGAGACGGAACGAAGCAATGGCTCAGATACAAATAAAACGTACACTATCACAAACAGAGAAAAAATACATATAATGACTGAGTCTAAGTCAGCAGAAAGGAACTCAATAAAGTGACCACATGACACACACATTAAACACGCACGCAACATCCGCCTCACTCTCATTGGTCAGCTCGGCCAGGCAAGAGAAAAATAGCATAAGGAAGAAAGATGAGAAGAATCAGAGAAAGGCTGAATAACGAAAGAAATGTCTGAAAACAGCAACAGGGGTTTCTTTTTTTCCCCTAATTTTCTCCCCAATTTAGACGTGTCCTGTTCCACCCACTAGTTAGGACCCCCTGAATCACATGATACTACCAGCGCTAAGAGGGTGAAGGCTAACACAGGCTTCCTCTGAGACCTCTGAAGCGCCACCGCATCTTTTCGAACTGCCGTTCACGGCTCAGCTGAACGCGCTCAGAGGAAAGCGCCAACCACCAGATCTGTTACGTCATCTAACGGACGCCTGCACTGACTAGCATTGGACTGAGTAATGGGGAAATGGGGACCTTCCTACCCACCCAAAGAGAACAAGGCCAGTTTGCTCCCTTGGACTAATGGCTGTAGCATCACTGGGGATTGAACTTGTGATCTCCTGGTGATGGGGCCAACACTTGGACGGTCACACCACCTGGAGTATCTGTGGAAGCCCACCACTCTACGGATGCAACTCTCCAACTCTTGAATATCAAAATTTGTCAGAGAGCACATCCCTAGTCGTGATATTTGAAGACATGATATTCACAAAATATCCAAACAACCTCGAACGGACAAAATGCCCCATCAAAACATGTAAATATTTAAAAAAAACATAATTAAAACTGTATAACGATACTTTTAACTCTACATTTGGAAAAATAAATTATCAGTTATAACCTGTCCAAGCCTTTTTTTCATGACCCATGCAGTTGTTCAGCTCTGCACTGATGACACTCATTAAAAACATCTCACCCTCAGAAGCTCCGCCCACAAAGGCACAGTGCACCTGATATCTACTGCACGTTAAACTGGCAACAACTACTGTGAATTTTGAGTCTTTTGGAGGGAAATATAGCAGCTTTTTTTGAGAAATGTTCGTAAAGTTCACAGCATCACATCTTTATTTCATTTTATTTTATTATATATTTATTTTTTATTTTCAGTGTTTTTCTTTGAAGCAGTTAGTAGCTAGTAAGCTAGTATCCTCTCATGTTTGCTGGCGCATACCACATCATTTCCTGGGTGTGTTTTTGCTGAAGCCCTCTTTAGAAAAATTGCCAAAACTACACAAAAGTAGTCTACTCTGTTTGGCAGGACTACAATCTCACCTCTAGTGCTTTAAAACACTTAAAGAAGAACACTAAGCTAATGCAAATGCAGCTTGAAGAAGTAAATCTTGTGAGCACTGAAGACGGTCAAAAGTGATTTAAAGGGCCGATATCATTAAAACTGAATGTTTGAAAATAATTTGAAATAATATGTAAACTTTAAAGTTTCAAAATGTGCTATTCGCTCCCCAGGCCATACAGTCTGTATACAGACACTAAGCTACAGCCTGTTTCTGTGAAGACAAGAGAAACAACTCGTTTATATTCATGGATGATTCTACTGAACTGGGTCAATATCTAGGTTTAACTGACTTGAACCTGGACAAAATGTTTCATACTATCCAAGTGTTTCAGTAGTGACTGTTTCGGTGGTGACAATTTTAGCTCATTTTGAGCAGAACTCAAAAACACAGTCAGTACATGACCAACAATGACCATCATCATATATTTATTAAAACACAAAAAGTACTTCAATGCGGAAAATCTGTTTCTGTAGTGATGATTCTTAATGTTCCGCAATGATTTTCAGATTCTGGGACACGTTTGGGAACAGTGGGGTCTAACTGCTCACCATGTGGCCATGAGGGGCAGGGATGCAGCCTCACTTCCTGCTCTAAAACGCAGGTGCGTGGCTGAAATAAGGCCCCGGCCTCAGACTAGATGCATACCTGTTCAGCCTACAGCAGTTTAGCTCCGCCTTTTCACAGTGCAGTTATAAGAAGTGTTCCAGCCTGGACTGCTTTTTGAATAAAGCACAATACAGGCCAATCAGAACAGAGCGCATTTGCATACATCAGTCTTAAAGGCTCAGTAGCAAAAACAGCCTGTTTTTTGTGTACATTTTTTATTTTTAATGCTAAACAGAAAACAAGATGCACCAAGATAGCATAGATACAAATAACAGAAACAGCCTGTTTAATTTTAAGGGGTAAATAAAGGTTGGAAAATGATCGATTTTTAAAATTAATTACGACCATTTTTGGTTCACAGCAGGATGTGAGCCCTCTAAAGCTGAGCCTCAGCTGCAGCGCTGCTTCAGTGCAAACCGACTCCTGTCTGAGTGTGTTTGTGTGGTAGATGGGAGAGATTAGAGTCTGTAGATAGGACGACCTGCAGAGACTCGTCAAGAACACCAGCTAGAACATTCCAACCCGGCCCACTCTCTCGCTCTCGCGCACGGCTCAACATGTTTCCCGAGGAGAGCAGGAAGCATCCCCCTATTCTATTCCGTAGGAGGAATTCCGGAATGCGAACATTCCACAGAGACCCGAGGGAGGGAGGGAGAGAGGGAGAGACTCCATCCATATGGTTCTCACACACAGGTCAATCACTGTGTTTACTTGTGGCCATGTGAAGCAAGACAACACATGGTCAAGCACTCACTCTCCATGTGTGTCTGTCTCTCTTTCTCATAGAGAGTCTGAGACCACTGTGAAAATCTGAAACGCAGAATTTTTAAACCAAAGAAAATTTATGACGGTAAAATACAGAGGAAGTTTTTAAGATTTTACACTATATTCACACAACTGTTTAAATTTAAAGGGCCCATGTCATGAAAAACCAAATATCCCTCACTTCTTTAAAATAAAAGTCTGGCGTAGTGTGTAAAAGTCTCAAAATGATCACTCCTGAAGCAAAAGAGCAACTGAGCTGTAAAAAACAGCCCAATTCCAATTCACTGCTTTTGTGACATCACAAAAACAAAGGCATTTACTTATATTCACCTATTCAGCCTGCAGCAGTTTAGCCCCACCCAGTCACACTGAAGTTATAAGGAGTGTTTCAGTCTGCTTCAGCTTGTTGAACAAGGCACAACACTGAGCAGCCAATCAGAAGAGCTCATTAACATATATCACTCTTAAAGGCACAGTAACAAAAACACCCTGTTTAACTGTAAGGGATAAAGGGATAAATTGCAAATGAAGTGAACCTCGTGGTAAGAGGGAAAAAAAGTTATAGGAGGAAAATCAAGAAAAATGCAGGACATTGGCCCTTTAAGCAAATGTGACACTGACCATGTTGAGTCAGATGTTTCTTTTGAGTCTTATCTCTTCTTAAGTTCGTGTTCAGACGACACTCTGGTGGATCTGATCTACTCATCAGAGGTTTTTGCGCTTGTGCTGTCATTAAAGCAAAAGCAAGGCAACCCAAATGCTAATTCTGAAATTCATGTAAATTTCAAACGTTCTACGTTTCACTCAAATTGTTATGCTGATATTATTTGTAACGGAATTTTTTTTTTATCAAAATTAGAAAGGAATGTACAGTAGAAGCACTGTTGTCCTATGTTGTTCACTGTTGTTCTATGGCCAATATGTCATACAAGCTTCACACGTCCATGTTTAAGCTGAATCGAGTTTATGAAAGTGAAAGTGCACCAACATTAGAGGTGCTGGGTGCATAAAAAAGGCTACATAAAAGCGAAAGTTCCTACATAATGTTTTGGCGTAGATTCATAACTACATGAGAAAGAGTAAAAAAGGTCCATGAAACGAGTGAACATCTCACGCTTTACTTTACATTACTGTGTCATCAGAGCACCTTCAGAGCTCTCAGGTGTCTGCGAGTGTTTTCTGGCCCCACCATCGGGAGATCGTGAGGACAATCCTCAGCGATGCTACAGCCTTCTGTTGTCAGGAGTCCATAACTGCCCTCTTTTTGTGTGGGTAAGATGGCCCTCCTGTCGCCCCACATCACTTAGCGTGATGTTAGCCAATGCGGACGTCTGTTAGCTCAGGGTTCCCAGTCCTGGCCACCAAACACTGCACATCTTGTCGTTAACTAATTAACAAGCGCCTCATTGGCCGGGTCAGGTATGTAGAGAAAACTGAAAAATGTGTAGAGTAAAGTGTAGCCAGGACTTGGACTGGGAACCCCTGCATTTGCTAATGTAAGACAATTGGCAGATGGCGTGTTGAGCCTTCAGTGGCATTGTGTTAGTGCCAGTATGAAGCATCATGTGTCTTGGAGGAAGCGCCAGCTAGTTTTCATCCTCCAAGCTCAGCAGCTGCTTCTGATTTGGGGAAACCTAGCAAATGAGTAGGAATGGCAAAGACAAAACTGGGGGAAAAACTGTGTAAAAAAAAAAAGAAGGACAGAATGCTTAATGCCCACCCCTTGTGATAGAGTATGCTACTCTTACTAGCATGCGAACATGAGTATAATCTGTGAGTGTGTCACTTGGTCACTCTCGCACAGCCCACTGCTGACACCAATGCAACACAGTACTGAAGAAAGCCGAAGAGGGCCAACCGCGCAGGGGACACCACACAAACCACAGGTGATGGTCGGCAACCGATGCTCACCTACGATGCTCACCTACGACCTGCCATTTAATCAACTAATCGCTCACTGAAGTTTGGCTTCCTCAGCACTGAGTTTATGTACTTTATGATGCAAATGTGCATCACTGAGAACAGCAATCCTTCAGGAGCTCAACACTGCACAGATCAGCAGCGGCTCCAGCACACCTGCTTCAATAAACGGGGTAACTACATGTGGGCCTGTTAGATCAGAAAGGTTCATACAGAACAAAGACATAGGAGAACCAGAGGGATCTTTCAATGGATCGCTCCATGTCTGCAAATGAGACGAAGGACCTTTTTAAAGTTTAAAGAACCTCTATATGTAAAGGTTCTATACTAATTAAAGGTTTTTCTACTGTGTGCCTAAGCCGGGAACCAGCCGGGAATTGTATTTAATTAATAATTAAATTTAATTAATGAGTGCAATTTTCAGCAGGACCTGTAATTTTGATTAGTCCCTGCAAGTTTTAAGTGTGGAACAGGAGCCTGTGAACCTGAGGAGCCTGTGAACAGCCTGTAGACCATTTAGACCAATCAGTGGCAACCAAACACCCACTTAAAGTGTACTAACTGGCCATGTGGTGCGCAACGTTTGGCATTCAAGCGTTCATAGAGTGGCAAAAAAACAGATCCACAGGCCTTAAAAAACTTTGGCAATTGTAGTTACGGTTCTGGTCTGAAACACTGCAATATTTAAAACTGCAGATATTTTCCCCAAAGCATTCAGCCCTGGTTTGTAGTAGTGCTGAAGGGCATTTAGATAAGTTTCAGCGATACTGATGGACTTAAAACCTTCACTGCAATGTATGAGAACAGGTGGGTGTTTCCAGATCGGTTTGAAAGAACAGTTTAACATACATACAACATTTTAACAACAGTTTAACATACATCCTCTCTGGTAATCTGTTTTCTGCCTGGTTAGTGGTTCTGACACCATGTAAGTCTCTTTTAAGAGAAGCAGAACAAAACAGTCCACTCAAAACAAGCTCTGTCAGGTTTGTAAGACATTCTTTACCCATAGACTGCCAGCCCAAACAGCATTTCAAAGGAGCTGAATACTCAATGGTGATTCAGAACAAGTCACAAGTTCATAACTGCAGAAAAAATAAATCCAGTAGGTTTTAACATGTACTAATACCAGTGTATACTGGTGATTGAAATCAGTCGTGGTGAAAAATCATGTGGCCTAGCAAGTGGTACCTGCATAAGGATCACTATACTGACATATAATAGTTGATTTATTTAACTTGCCAGCCTCTTATTAGTGAGTTTTAATTTCGCCAGTTTACTAAAACTGGTTCACCCACGTCTAAAATCTGCGGTACTTTACGTTTAAAAATAGTAAACACTATTCAAATTAAATGCTTGAAAACTAATTACACTCAGCCCGCTAAACATATTATCTTTAATATCGTAGAACAGGGTCATGTCTGTATGTGCAGGTCAGCAATAGCTAGCAAAATGGACAGGATTCGGGTCAGATATGGTCCTTGTTTATTAAAAGGCACCTATCTTCTATTTTCCTCATATTTTATCCACCCGCCACGTTCACTGGTAACATTTGTGCAGTTTTATGTAAAAATAGTCATAATTCATTTTTAGGTGACCATTTTTCAACCTATCTTTATTCCTTAGAGCTAAACTGCCTGCGCCTTTAAGACGGATATACGTAAATGAGCTCTGTTCTGATTGGCTGCCCTGTATTGCGCCTCATTCTAAAAGCAGTCCAGAGTTGAAACACACCTGATAACGTCAGTGTGAGTGGGCGGGGCTAAACTGCTATAAATGTGTGGATGGATGAGGGGGGTTTAAGGGGGGGGGCACCATGGCACACTAATTTTTGTAGCTTATAAAAGGACGAAGTTTCTGAAAACTAAATAGAGGAACGAACGCCAGCATAACCAGCGAATCCTTGAATATTCAAATGATTCTAGCCGGCCTGAATAGCTTAGCTCCCCTATATCATCTGATACAGGACTAAAGCGACACTACAGTACTGAATATTAATATTAATATTAATAGCATCCAGCACTAGAGTGTGGGATCCACTGAGATCCCGCTGGGGCTCGTCCTGCGGCCCACAGCATGAGGCCACTGTGAGCTCCCTCTCGTCCACTGAGCCCTTCATGCATTTAATGGTCTAGAGGGACAGTTTTAGTCAAAAGTCTGTCACGTGTACTTCAACACTGATTCTGGACCAATCCATGAAAAAGCGCCTCTTACTGCAGGCTGGAGACCTGTGTCCTTCAGCGCTGTCCTGAGATCAGGCCAAAAACTTCCACTCCAAACCCCTACATGCAGATTAAGGGGGTTTTAGATAAGCGCATGGGTCAGAGACTTAAAAACTTAAACCCAGATAAACGCAGGACGGAGATTAGATAAAGCGCTCAGGTCTGGCTCTGGCCAGCCGCACACTAAGACCCAAAGGGCGGGATCAGAGCAGAAAAGCGCATAAACAACCTTAAACAGCATTTAAACAACGTTTAAAACTCGATCCCTGAGGAAGAACACGAGAAGCACATGAGAAACTCATGAGAAGCTATACCCACCAATATCACCAGCCACATACATTAAAAATACACAGCAGGAGCACACAGGAATTCAGCAGGTCAGCTCTGCACAAAAATATCTCCAGAGAACACTGTGTGGCGTGTGGATATATTTAGATCTCAATAAATACGAAACTGGAACTTCGAGAAGAATCAAAGGAACCCATAAAATGAGAACTGACAAAGAACATAAGCAGCACAAACAAAGGCTAACCACACGCAAGATCCCAAAAAAGACAACAGAAAATAGCACATCGAAACCAGGCAGCACACGTACATACCCTGGAATAAATACAGCCCCACAGGAGAACGTTTAAGGGAACTTTTATGCTTCTATAGTAAGATATAATGACAGAGTGAGGAGAATAAAAACAGACTAAAACACGTTAAGCGTGCGCTGCTGCGAGTCGCCACGTAAAACCTGAAATAATCATTTAAAAGTCAGAGGCGTCGGGAGTTTCACACCACGTCATACGTCTTTACATATTAATGTCACAAACTCAAAAAGTAGGTCTCAAACGCAAAATCAACATTATACTGATTAAGACACTATATGGACAAAAGTATTGGGACACCTACACATTACACCTACAGGAGCTTTTACGACATCTCTCTGTAAATCCATAGGCATTAATACGGAGTTGGTCCCCCTTTGCAGCTCTAACAGCTTCCACTCTTCTGGGAAGGTTTCTGTCTGTGGGAATTTCTGCCCATTCGTCCAGAAGCGCTTTTGTGAGGTCAGACACTGATGTTGGACAAGAGGGTCTGACTCACAATCTCCGTTCTAGTTCATCCCAAAGGTGTTTGATGGGGTTGAGGTCAGGACTCTAGTTCTTCCACACCAGACTCACCCAGTCAGGCCTTTATGGAGCTGCTTTGAGCACTGGGGTTCTTCTCCAAACTGTTCCCACAAAGTTGGAAGTGTACAGTTGTCCAAAATGTCTTGGTGCTGAAGCATTAAGATGTCCCTTCACTGGAACTAAGGGTTCTAGACAAACCCCTGAAAAACAGCCCCATATCATCATCCCTCCTCCACCAAACTTTACAGCTGGCACAGTGCAGTCAGGCAGGTAACGTTCTCCTGGCATTCGCCAAACCAAGACTCAGCAATCAGACTGACAGATAGAGAAGCGTGATTGGTCACTCCACAGAATACGTTTCCACTGCTCCAGAGTCCAGTGGTGCTTGGAATTGGGCTTGGTGCTGATGTTGATGCCAGAGGCGGTTAGAACTCTGCAGTTATTGACCAGCAGAGTCCTGGTGACTTTTATGCTCTATGCTCCTCAGCACTCTGCGACCCGCTCTGTAACTTTACATGATCTGACACTTCGTGGCTGAGTTGCTGTGGTTCCTAAACGCTTCCACTTTTCAGTAATACACTCATAGCTGATTGTGGAACATCTAGGAGGGAAGAAATTTCTCTAACTGACTTGTTGCAACAGTGCCATCCATTTACAGCACCACACTTGAGTTCAGTGAGCTCTTTAGAACGACCCATTCTTTCACTATTGTGTGTAACGGCAGGCTGCATGGCTAGGTACTTGATTTTATACACCTGTGGCAATGAGCCTCAATGAAACACCTGAACTCAATGATTAAGAGGTGTGTCCCAATACTTTTGTCCATGTAGTGTATGATGACAATAGTCCTGTTGACTGAGTTCTCTTTGAATTCTTTTTCAGATTCATCAGTTCAAGGAAGAGGACAGAAATTACACACTTCCACCACAGAGGTCTCCAAACCCCCAAAACTTACACAGTGTAGCTTTAATATCCATCATACATACTTAAAAAAGATGGTTCTTGAAGGGTTCTTTAGTAAAGGCAATGGTTCTATTAGGAACAAGGAGTTCAATATAGCACCATTTCATGCTCAAATGGTATTTAGACTGATGCAGAATGTGTTCTATGTGGTTCTATGTAGAACCTTTATGAAAATGGTTCTATATAGCACCAAAAATGGTTCTTCTTTTGCCACAAGCCTGACATCGTAACAATAGGAGAGCGCATATTGGTGCCATAGACAACACATTATCCATCAATCTGAAGAACCATTTCACCATGAAAAGAACGACTTACGCATGAAATGGTTCTATATACAACTCATGACTCTAAAAGAGAACCAACATATTTACTAAAGAACCCTTGAAGAGTCATCAAGTGTGTACGGTAATAAAAACAACACTCATATTCGTGTAGTCCAAAATTCATAATTTACATATTAATCCATAAACATTACTGAACTGTTTTTACGTTTGGTATCTTATGATGAGGTCGTTTTTGCATTACTTCAATCTGCAGGAAAAAAAAAACGAAAACGTTTTGAAGAAAAACACAGGACTGTTCCTCTAAACTCTCAGCAGGTGTTTCAGGAACGTCTGCTGTTATTTAATGACTCTGATGTCACACAGCGCTCGAGAACATTGAGGAGGCACCCCAGTTGGTTATCACTCACCATGGGTGTGGTCAGAGAGGCGTGGCCACTAAGGAAGGAGTTAGACACAGACAGGCTGAGACCAAGAGCAGACTCCGCCTCCTCCGGAACACCAGTGGATGGAGGGAGAAGAGAAAGGGAAGAGGAGGAAGAGGAGGAAGGAGAGGACGAGTGAGACGCCTACAGAGAGAGGGAAAGTGAGAGAGAAAGAGCAGAGGCAGAGAACAAGAGACAGAGTGAAAGAAAAAAAAGAAAAGAAGAAGAAAAGAATGGAAAACCAGAGTAAGAAAGAGGTAAACATGCTATTACAGCCAAGAGTTACTTAAAGAACAACTAGCACACACACAGTGAGAGAGAGAGAGAGAGAGAGAGAGAGAGAGAGAGAGAGAGACAGACAGATAGAGAGAGAGAGATAAAGAGAGAGAGAGAGAGATAAAGAGAGAGAGGGAGAGAGACAAAGAGAAAGAGAGGAAGGAAAATAAAAAAGAGGACAAGAAAGTCTGAAACAGTGCTCTGTGCTGCTGAAGCAGAGCTGTCATTATCAATAAGTAATCGAGTAATTTACTGATTATTTTGACGATTGACCGATAATCAATGAGCTTTTAAAATATTTTATAGGAAAAGGCTTTTCCAGCCAAAGGACTTTTTGGGGACAAAAGTTTGAATCCTTCAAAAAGTTTGATAGCTTATCAATATCTGAACTCCTGCTAGGCTGTTGCTGTTGTATCCCAGGTGGTTGTTAAGGTCTTGCTATGCTGCTGCTGCTATCCCAGGTGCTCGCTAAGGTTTTGCTAAAAGTTACTTAAATTTTTTTTTTCACACTTTTTGTATCACTTGCAATTTGCACAGCAAATAAAAGAAAATGTAATTATATATATATACATATATATATACATATATATATATATATATATATATATATATATATATATATATATATATATACACACACACACACACACACACACAAATATATATATCCCAGCGTGTAACACAGTGCTGTGTAAAAGTACACATCAGCTGAGAATAAAGCTATTTATCTGGGCAGTTAGCAAATATAAGTTAAAAAAAACCATTAACATTAGGATAATTACAATGTATGTGTGCTACCTATAACTACCACTGTGAACAATTCTGACTCAGCAAGTTTCTCTTTTCTCACCAAACCACTCTGAACGACTCTGTTCATGTCAATCATTGAATTATTCAGAAATTTTGAAAAACTGGTGGAGTTTCCCACCTAGTATCAATATTGTCATGTGAGGTTTTTTTCTCGAAAAGAAACATCAGTATTGACTTAATTCACATTCCTAGTGACTTCTACCTGCGGTTGCTTCGCTCTTCGATGAGGGAAGTCATCTTTAATCATTAATCACCTCATTAATCATTAATGAACGACCTCTCTACGTCCCCTCGGTGTGCTTTGATCTGTTCACCCAGCAGGTCACACAGATCAGGTACAGGTACTGCAGTTTGACCTCTGACCTTGCTCTGTTCCCCAGTCTGGCCCATTAATCACTGATAACACACATCTATAGAAGTATGTGTGTGTGTGTGTGTGTGTGTGTGTGTGTGTGTGCAGAGTACTTGATGTGTGTGTGTGTATATACAGCTCTATGCTGGCCAAATGACATATTCTGGTGATTTCTGAAGTGAACAGAACCTTTACAGAAAGGCAAATGTTAATGAACAGTTATTCTGTATTTGATCACCTTAAAAAATAGAAAACAATTAAAACAGTAATTATGACGTGTAAGAGTTTGACACCCGTCTTCTAGATATAAAGTTTTAGAATTATCTTAACGGCCTTAACCCTTGAGTGGTGTTGATGTGTGTGTTACTCAGTGGTCCGGTGGACCCACCACATTATTATGCTTTTTAAATCAATACAGTCATAACAATTTATGTAAAAATACCAGATGTTTAAAACATCACAAGTGTCCAGCGTAGGGTTCTCCTTTAGCAGCTGTAGCCAGTCAGCAGCCTGTCCATGTTGTCCACCTTCACACACACACACACACACACACACACACACACACACACACACACACACACACACACACTAACAGCAGGCCGTGTAGGAGGAGAACAGAGTGAAGGACACAGCACCTCCACACTTTTACTCCCCGCTGGTTCACCCAACACTGCATGTGTAATATAAATGTGTGGGGGGTGAACAGAGTGAAGACACTGAAAATGGGTTATTTTATATGTTCTTCACAGAAAATGTGCAAAGACCAAGAATCTGAGGTTGAAATAATAATAAATCACATCTTTTTTTTCTTTTGATAAACATTGAAAATGGGTCCCACAGACCCCAACACCACACAAGGGTTAACTGACCCTTTAGGAAAGGTCAGGCAAGTCAAGAACTGTCATTAAGAACTATCAGCTGATGACAATTCCAGAGTGTCATAAATTCTCTGACTCTTCAAACACTCTGCTAACACTCGACAACCATGGGCTCCTCTAAGCAGCTGACTACAAAGCAGTGGAAGGCCATAAAAAGAGCTTCGCAATTTTCAGTGTCCGAAATCTCATTCAGATATGATGGTTACGTGGAACTCCACCGATTCTTCAAAAACATTCTACATATTTAAATGGTTGAGATGTAAACAATGTAATTCAGAGTGATTTGCTGTGAAACGCTCCATTCTAGAGAAACTGAGTCAGAACTGTTCACAGTGGTGGTGATAGGAACCAGACGTCCACCTCTAAAAGCTCCCTCACAGAAAGTTATTACATTAAATGGTTTGATATACATTACCTGATGTCTGACATGTTGTTTTATGACAGTTTAGAATGTATTTTAATCCATTTGTGATGGAGGGGCAGTGTGCAGGGCATGAAGGGTGTTCTAAGGCAAAACAGTCCCCAAAGAAAACTTAATTTTTCATATTAATGACTGATCTAAAAAGCTCAGAAGACTCGTGTAGGTTCACTGGTGGTTTTGGATAGTAAATAAAATGGCTATATTTGTGTTGTAGTCATGGCGACCCCTGGTTCCACCACTGTAAAGACATCTGAGTCTCTACAATCAACCATTTCACACCAAACCACTCTGAATGAACTTTTTAAAATTTTTGAAAAATTGGTGGCATTCTCCCTTTGAGGGGAACTGTAGAGGTTAAGGCAAGCTAGGCCGGCCAAAGAGGCAAAACCTCCACATGACAGCAAAGAAACTGCAGGTAGGTTTAGCTGACAGGAGTGGTGGCGCACTGTTCAGAGCCATCAGAAGGAAACCTGACCAGCAACACAAAAGACTGAAGTATTCAAAACATCTAGATCAGCCAGAAGCATTTTGGAAACGTGCTGCGGAATGATGAAGTAAAAACAGAACTTTATGACCACAATCACCAAAAGTATGAAGAAAAAAAACACCTGGCTGACTGTTAAGCAAGGAGGCTGTTAGGCTTTGGGGTTGTGTGGCAGCCAGCGTGACGGGAAACACTGCACCGCTAGAACGGATTCCTCTAAATATCAGTAAATCACTGCTGTCGGAACAAAACCTCACATCCCCAAAATGGTAACTTTACAGGAGAAGCAAAAAACAGACTTTACTTTTAATGTAAGTCAATGGAACCAGAATTTTTTCCAGGTCATTTTGGGTCGTTTCTTTTGGTTCATTCATCACGAAATTTGCACACAATGTAAAGAGCAACAGACATTTTCAAATTATGTTAAAAACTAGAAAACGACAAAAATGGAGATGTGAGATTTTGTTCCGACAGCAGCAAAATACTGGAAGCAAATGTGACAGTCAGGAAAACGAAGGTGAAAAGAGGCTGGACAGGACGATGATCCAAAACACTTCAAAACCTACAAAGAACTAGAAAAAGCTAGCAGGAGCTTCCTGAATGGGCCTCACAGTCAGTCCCCTGACGTGAACGTCACTGAAAATCAGTGCATGCTGGGCACATTTCAAAAATACTGCAGAGCTAGAAATGTTCTGTAAGGAAGAGTTGGTGATAATTCTTAAAACAGGAACAGAAACAATAGGCTACAAAAAGCGTCTGCCAGCTGTGGGGTCTGTCAGAGGGGGTGTAACTAAGCTCTGACTTATCAGGCAGTCCAAGCCACACGTACTATTTTACATGTTAAGTGAATCAAATATGAAGTAACTGTTCAAAAAAAGTTTATTTTTAAAAAACAAAGAGGTTGTATTCACTTCTTTCACTAACATAAAATACGTAATTTGGCCATTCATATATGCATAAACCTGCTTTCACACCAGCAGCGACGCGATGCAACAAAGCGGCCAGACGTCATTCATTTTCAAAGAGAGCTGCGTTTTCCTGGCGACAGGAGGCGGCGCGAACGTTGCCGACGTGAAGTGGGCGGAGTCACAACGTGACAAAGTTGAGTTTAACTTTATGCAAATTAGGAGCAAAGCGACGTAGTGATTACCAATAGGAATTGAGCACTGAGCGTAGTATGAGCTTTAGCTCCGCCACCGTGAAACGGAACGCTCTATTTTTGGTTCCTAGGTAATTGTTCCTACCACAGGTGGAATAACAGCAGCGGTGCTTTCACCACAATCAGACGATAACCAGGACTTTTATTTGTAGTGGGAACGCATTTGATTTGTGCTTGACGTCAGTGAAACCATGGCAACCAACGGTCAGTTCGAGTTCAGAAACACTCGACCAGCGATTTGGGCGACAAGAGGCGAAAAGTGTAAACATAGGGTTAGAAAGAGTGGGTGATAATTCTTAAAACAGGAATAGAAAGACTCCGAGCTGGCTACAAAGAGCGCCTGTAAGCTGTGATGTCTGCCAGAGGGGGTGTTACTAAGTTCCGACTCAGTAGGCAGTCCAAACTTTTGCAGATGCCAAGTTGTTTTGCCAATCAAATATAAAGTAACTGTATATAAAACAAGTTATTTTAAAAACAAAGAGGTTGTGGTCACTCCTTTCACTTCAACAAAGTTCGGCCGTTCATATACACACGCATGTTGAGTATGTGTGTGTGCCGGATGTGGGTATAGCTGTGTGTCTGTACTGTACCAGCTGTCTCTGTTTCGGGGGCAGGGCGGGGGGTGGTGCGGGCTCGTGGACTGAATCCGAGCTGCTGTAAGACTCGTGGATGCCGTAAACCTCCTGGAAGTGTTTGTTCCGCCGCTGCTCGTAGATGCGCTCGCTCTGAGGGGTCTGGTAGAAGACAGACGGCTGTGGCTCCGAGTAATCCTCCACAAACTGCATGTACTGCAGGACTGAACAGAGAGAAAACACACACATCACAAACCGCATGTCCAGTTACACACAGCGTAACCTGCATGAGAGAACGCAGTCGTGTACAGTCACGTCACAAACCCTACGGTTGCTCAACTGCTCAGTTGCTCAATATCCAAGCTTCACGTTTGCAACTGATGTGTGTCTGTGATTGGTGTGAACACACACTGTCTGATCTCACTGTGGACTTTTAGCCACATACTGGACATCTATCTGATCTAGGACCCCATGTGAAAGTGGCACAGGCTGCCCAAACTGGATTTCCTATATATGAGATTTAAGCAGGAACAACAAGTGAGGTCGTCTATTTAATCCTCTTCATTAGCCCTGTTTGTATTGTATGTGTGTGGGTGTAGATGGGTCTTAAAAGGCAACATACCGGTTAGCTAACAGGCTAATATTTCAGTAAGTAGTAAACAGTGACAAAGACAACAACACGTATTACCACAACAAACATTTTTCATTGTTGGTCAGGTGTTTTTTTTTGCATTTGCCCGGCACTCCCTGGTTACTGCATACACACTGCTCTAACTCAGTAATGGGCAGTATGGTCAAAAATATATATCATTTAAGATGTTTATCACATGTATAAGATGTATATGTATATCATGGTAAGATGGTTTCTGTATATATAAAATGGTAGAGTAAACCTACTATATAGAACCATGAACGCTCAAAAAACCTTTTTACATGATTAAGGGGTTTTTTGCATCATGAAAGCGTTCCTCAGATTGATGGAGAAATCAAATCAAATCAAATCAAATGTGCTGTAGAGGGTTCTATATAGCACTAAAAGGGTTCCACTACTGTTACAAGAACGCTTTTTGGTGCTATATACAACCCGTTTTGCTTAGAGTGTATTTACGCATATTCTGCTTATGCTTAGGTAAACTTATTTTATAGGTTCACTTTTAAAAAGAACTGAAGTAAATTGAAAATATTGTTACTGGGTAAAATAGTAAAATCAGAAATGAACAGTGAGTGTTTACATGCACTCAACAATCCAATCATCATCACATTTCTGCAGTTATCTGATTATTCAAATAGTCATGTAAACAGCCCACTCTGATTTCTTAGATCGGAGTAAGGTCTAGGAATCTGATTAAGAAATCCAATAAAGAGCTGGATTTAGCTCAGTAATCAGATCTCTCAGTGCATGTGAACTCTTACTCTGATTTCTTTCAGATTTCTCAGTCTGCACATGTGCGAAACAGACCGCAGTACTGGAAATAAGCAGCGTCGCTGCGAGACGCAGCAAAATGGTTTTGGAGCGATGTTGAAACCAAATACGCGCTTGACGAAATGAAGGATGTAAATATTCTTCATCTTCTAGATGATGTACGTTCATATTTTTAGGTAAAGTGGTGCAATGTTTTTTACAAAAACCCGCAGCATGAAGTTTGAGTTTTATGTTACATTTACATCACATCTTCTTCTTTGAGTTTATTGGCTGGTTGCAAAGCAGAAATCTGATTATTGTCTGACTCATGTAGACCTGGAGTTTCCCCATTATCTGATTACTGAAGTGCATGTAAACACACTGATCAGATTACTGACAAAATTGATTTTCTGCAGTTATTGGATTATTCAGTGCATGTAAACAAACTCAGACAGGTATTAATATTGCTTTACTACTTTAACAGGATAAAGGTGAGTGCCTGTGAGAACACAGCAGCTTCTCTGAGTGCAGCAAAAACGGTGCTGAATGTTTTAAGTCTGAAAGTCATTTGTCTCATAGGTGCATCTCTTACACCTGAGCTTTAATCTACGGGTGCCAGACGCTGCTGGAATTTGGTAAATATTGCAGCAATTCATCCTATCAGTATTAGTCGAAAAGCTGAAAAGCTTTTATGGGCGACGTCTCCTGAAGCAGCTGGCCGAGTGAGGGTCACAGAAGGCGGTGAGCGCATTGAAAGCCGCCTAACCTCCATGCTAAGCTAAAAGCAAACAGCTAACCCCAAGAGACAGACCTTTCCTTCCGCTCTCTTTTCCTGATTTAACTCATTACATTCCGATATCTGCACCTTTAACATCAAACCGGACTAACTTACCTCAGACTGCAGTTCACAACACGAGAGATGAGGGAATTAGAGTGTTTCGCACTGTATGTATGTCACGTTATCTGTGTTTATTTATGGCATATGAGCCAATATATCACCCTCTACTTCTCTAACGCTTACTGGTTTTGCTCTTTTTCTCCGGTAGAGGTGGTGGGCTGTCACTGAAGACGCTCGGAGTCTGGGCTTCGCTCCCGTTGCACTGTGGCCCAGGAGACACGGGTGTCACCAATGGAAACGGCGGTGTGGGCGTGTCCTCCTCTTGCAAGTTGTCGTAGTGCGAGGGAAGCCGCTCGTACAGCGGACAGGTTGACAGGATCGGAGCTGAGCGCCGCTTCTTCTGCGGCAGGGCGGGGGGCTGCTCCCCATTGGACGCTCCAGCAGCGGAGGGCGGAGTCCAGTGATCCAGAGAGCTCTGACTGGTCAGGGGGGCACTGAAGCGGGGGTGGGTGGGGCCTGGGGACGGAGACTCACTGAGGCTTTCTGGGAGAGGGCTCAGGCAGCCGCTGTGAACTGTGGGAAACGGTAAAGGCTCGGACACGGAGAGATCCTGATGAAGGAAGTCGTAGTCAGGATCGTATCCTTCTGTGTTATCTACAGAGAGAGAGAGAGAGAGAGAGAGAGAGAGAGAGAGAGAGAGAGAGAGAGAGAGAGAGAGAGAGAGAGAGAGATACATGCAATGACTACATGTCTCCACAAATAAAGCTCTGGTAAGAAACACCTGTGAGGCCTTTTTTCTGGTCCCCTCAAGGCTACTCGTTTTTCATTTTCAGGAAATAGTGCTCTTTTCAGAAACTGTAAGAATAAAAACATCTGACCTTCACACACTGTGTAGAACACACAGACATCCAGGATGCAGTTGACTGCAAAAGTTTGAAAATCCATGGTAAAATGGCTGTTTCTGATTTCTTTTTTTAATAAGAAATTGAACACATCCTCTGCCGGGAGCAAACTCAATTTCAAATTCTATTTATTTTCTAAGTTTAACATACTGGAAACAAATAAAACACAAAATTTGAAATGTGGCGAAACATTTGCACAGATCACACTTTGTTTTTTTTTGTCCCCAATATGTCAAATAGAGCAAATAAACAGTAATTGTGCATTAAAATTAGCAGAAGTGTGTTCTCTGTCGAGGGTGTGTTCACTTATTTTTCACTTCAACAAAACATTTCAATTGACTAGGGGCGCCCACAGGCTGTAGTAATACACTGTGTGTGTGTGTGTGTGTGTACCGAGCGTTTCGCAGCTGGTGTTGCGTGAGCACTGGCCGCTGTCTCTCTCCAGGGATGAAAGCTGCTCGTCCGACTTGCTCAGCTTTCCCATGCTGCTGCAGGGTGAGAGGCGGGGCGAATCCCCACCGTATGACTGGCTGCCGCCAGAAAAGCGTCTGTGGTGGAGGTCCACTTCGTACTCCTGCTGCTGTTACCACAGAGACCACAAACAACAACCACAATAAAGTCTACTTAAGGCAGCAATTTAAAAATATGGGTCAAAACTAACTGTGGGACGTAATGGATTTACTACACAACAGAGGGTAGAGAGGAAAGGAATTTAAAGGGTTACAATCAGGGTTAAGACATTCACAGGACAGATCATGGACCTGGAGAGAGTCATTAATAATAATAATAATAATAATAATAATAGTAAATCAGTTTTATTTATAGAGCACTTTTCATGCCAGGGGCAGCTCAAAGTGCTTAACAGACAGGAGATAAAGCTTAACAGTAATACAAGAAATTATAAGTATTAATTGAGAATCATAAGAAAATGACACAGATCAAATTAAAAGATAAGAATCCATGAGAAAGAGTTTTAATTAAGTGCTGAGTTAAAGAGATACGTTTCTAGATGCTTCTTAAAAGTGAGCACTGAGCTTGACTGTATGATAAAAGGTGGAATTGAGTCCCACAGTTTAGAAGCTGAATAACTTTGCATCAGTTCTGTTCATTTCAGAGAAGTAAGTGTCTTGGACGCCGGCATCTCAGCTTCACAGGTACCAAAATCTAAACCAATAATATGAGTTTTAAATTTCAAGTGACTGATCATGCTAGAAATGCAATAGATTGGCATATTGGTATCAATGGGTATCTGTATGGGGCCGAAATCAGCAGAAAATACTGGATGAAATATTGAAGAGAGAAAAAAAAAAAGAATGAATCTGATCCAAATCTATCCTGTAGCTGTGTAGCTCTTCCTGTGGGGTTAACATAGTGAGCAGTGTCAGCATGATAGCCTAATTTTAGGTGCTCGATTTTACCCTCCATAACTTCAGAACGGTTTAAGCTACAGACATGATACACATATCAGACGATTCAGCAGATCCAGTCCAAACTAGCTAGTGTGATGTCATCTAGCTGTGATGTCATAATCAGTGAGTAATTCTGCTCGGAAAATCACCCAAGATTTTATTTATTATTGCTCTGTTTTCTGCCCTTCATATTCCAACAAAGGGTTAAAACAGCGACATGATTCACACATCAGATCACTCATCAGACTCTGTCCTCACCATCCAGAGTGATTTCATCCACCTGTGACCGTCCATCAGCCAGCAATCCAGCTCCAAAATCACCCAAACCCACTCGCTATTGTTATACTACATCTCTGCTTTTAGCCTTCATATTATAAACAAAGCATTAAAAATAGCGACATGATTTACACATCAGAACACTCAGAGGAACCTGCCCTCACTAGCCCTCACTGAGAGAAACCAGCTCTAACATCCCACAACCCAGAAATACAGCACAAACACACAGCCAGATCACTGTAAAACCTGCTGTTAGCTCTGCTTTAGCCCTCATATTGCAACAAAGGGTTAACTGAAGAGCTTCAATTTAAAAAAAAAAAAACTTTTAATATTGGTCTCAGGATCAATATTAATGCTGCCTGGCTGGCTCATTCTCATAAAACCGCTTCTAACCAGGCCCATAAGTATTAGGAGGGTCATAATCATCATGCAGATAATCAATATTTATATATTTTAGTAGCTCAGTGAAGAGAATTTTGCAAACGTTAAATGTCCCAGCTGAGTTGAAAGATTTGCAACAGATTAGCAGTATATTTGGCAAATCTGCTGTTTTTATTTGAGGTTTAGTGTTAGAATAAACGGTCAGAGCTCATGACTGGGGTCTGTACCTGTTTAAGAGCTCCGGGTGGCAGGTTGAGGCCACAGTTGGTCCTGCTCATGGGCGCCACGATGGCAACTCGGGGGGGAGAATGCGCGGACTGGCGCTTCTTTGGAGGCAGAGCGGGTGGGCTGCAGGAAAAACAATCATAATAAAATTTAAACTTTATTAATATGTAACAACATCAAGTGAATTAATCACCAAATACACACAGCGAGCAAAGTTAGTGAGGGCTGGGGATTTAAATTCACCCACACAAACTGAATCAATACAAAAAACTCCCGATCTTGAAATCGGGAGGGGTTTCTGGGTATTTCTCAGCTCAGCTAGGTAACCAGGGAAACAAGGGAGCTGACCAATCACAAATTATCATGAGGTTGGGGTTCTGAGGGCAGAGCACTTATTGGTCAATCATGCAAATTTGCCACAATCAGGCTTTGTCCCTGATTGGCTGACATTCCGCAATGTGCACTCGAGACTGAACACACATTGTCCCATAATCACATGCATATTACGGCTCCCCTCCAATCAGGAAGCCCGAGGGGCGGGGCTGTGTGATGTCACAATGCACACAGAGCACCCCATTGGCTGACGTACGTTTCCATCACCGCCGCCCTCCACTGCCCGGCAACAGGATCGGAGCACAACTGCATCCTGCTCCTGGCCCAGGACAACCAAACGATGACACAGTGCAGAGACAAAGGAGCAGGATGATCAAACGACCGCAGAGCACATAGAAAAAAGGATGAAGACCAGAGAAAAAAAATGAAGACAGAAAGACAACATAATGGCAACAGGCAAGGAGAGAGAGAGAGTAAGAGAGAGAGAGAGAGAGAGGGAGAGAGAGAGAGAGAGAGGGAGAGAGAGAAAGGACACATACAGATATTCACATACAGTGTGATAAACAGAACTGACCGACTGATACCTGACCGTCACACTTCAAAATAAAATCCATGCCCCGCCCACAAATGCATTCTTTCATAGCAACTGTTGCCAAGTTGAACAAGCAGTACAGAATGCTGAAAAAAATCCATTAAACTTAACACTTTGTACTGACAGCTAGCACACGTTCACTATATGGCCAAAAGTTTGTGGACACCTGACCATCACGCCTATATGAGCTTGCTGGACATCCCTTTCAAAAATGGGCATAAACACGGAGTTGCCCTCCTCCTTTGCGGCTATAACAGCCTCCACTCTTCTGGGAAGGCTTTCCACCATATTTCGGAGTGTGTCTGTGGGAATTTCTGCCCATTCAGTCAAAAGAGCATTTTTGGGGCCGAGCCCAAAACATTATAAAACAGCCCCAGACGATTATCCCTCCTCCACCAAACTTTATGGCACTGTCCATTTTGTCTATCAGAATGCCAGACAGTGAAGCTGATTCATCACTCCAGAGAACGTTTCCACTGCTCCAGAGTCCAGACTGCTTTACATCACTCCAGCCGATGCTTGGCACTGCGCATAGTGATCTCAGGCTTGTGTTCAGCTGTTCAGCCACGGAAACCCATTCCATGAAACTCCTGACGCACAGCTCTTGTGCTGATGTTGCTTCCTGAGGCAGTTTGGAGCTCTGCAATCAGTGATGCAAAAGATGGTTCACGATTGCTACACACTGCAGCACTCGTCAGCTTCACCACGTAGGTTTGCGTGGTCTGCCACTTTGTGGCTGAGCTGTTGTTGCTCCTACACATTTCCCTTTACAGTAACAGCACTTACAGTCGTCTGGGGCAGGGCAGAAATCTCACAAACTAACTTGTGGCAAAGCTGCATCTTATGACAGTGCCATGTTTAAAGTCACAGTATTCAGTATTACCTGTCCTACTGCCAGTGTTTGACTGTGGAGACTACATGGATACGTGCTTGATTTTATATACCTGTTAGCAATGGGTGTGGCCGAAACACCTGAATAATTAGGAGGGGGGTCCACATACTTTTGGCCATATAGTGTAGTTACACTATGTCAGGTCAGCGTCAAGTCAATACATAAACAAACTACTGATCTATCAGCTAACAGACCAAATCTTCAAACCACAAACTGGGAGTGTGTCTATTCCTCATTTTAAAGATTAGGATATTTTAGCGTATTTTATGTTTGTGTAACACATTTAAATGCAGTATCAGTAGCTTACAGTCCTGGAGGGCTGGTGTCCAGCACAGTTTGGAGGTTTCCCTGCTCAAACACACCCACTTAACCTGGCAATGAACAGATAAGTGTAATCAGGTGTGTTGGAGCAGGTAAATCACCAAACTGTGCTGGACACCAGCCCTCCAGGACTGGAGCTGAGCACCCCTGGTTTATAGTAACAAAAAAAAAAAAACATTTTAATTACTAAGTAAACCTTCCAGCAATTCCTGTACAGACTGTTTCACTGAGGTTAATATCCCTTAAACATTAGATAACGGACCATGTAGCTCTCTTTAACCACCTCACAGATCAAACCTTACTCATTTTTGGCTAGTTTAACCCAGTTTTGATGAAAGACGATGAGCTTAACCGCACGAGTACTGTCTCATGCACAAATCAGAGACCACCCTTGATTTAATTTTGAACTGAATATTTGATTTCAAGTTAAAATGGCTATTAAGTGCAAGCGGTTCTTTTTTCAGCATTAGGAAAAAGTATGTTTGAGAGAAATGTACACAGCTCTGAAAAGCTTGTCCAACCCAGCAACAGCAACTAAAAACAGAGCACGTTTGTGAGAGGAGCACTTAGACGACTAACTCAATTCAGATTCGATTAGACTGATTGTGTTTCTATAGAGTAAGAAAGAGTTTCAAACTGCACTCTTATGCACTCAGATTGCATCACACAGACTGAAAAGTGCCAAGCAGCCGTCTCCTCACTGCAGACGTTCCTCTTTCAAGCGTGTTTCACTACCGTAAATCTATTTGCTCTCTTGTGGAGCAAGACTGAAGGAGAGAGGAAAACAGCGCTTCTGCTTTGTAGAGCACAGACAATAAGGGTGGGAGGCTGTGTGTGTGGAAGAAACGCAATCATATTTAAATATGGCTCTCCACAGCTATTATTAAGCTGAGGGGGAGTTCATTATGTTGCCTCATCAACTGGAAACTGATATCACTACAGAACAGAGGTGCCCGAACGTTGTGGTGCGGCAGCCAAACACTCAGTCTGGTGTTTTTAGCTCAGCATTCCCCACCGTCTGACCGAACGCTGGTATATTTAGCCTGGTTAATTCATTCCCATCTGAATTTAATTTTAAAATTCACTTGAACATCGGAAATGCAAAAATAAAAACTAGTTTATTTAGCTACTTCACGTCAGCTGTTCACTGAAGTAAATGTTTCCTCCAAGACCTTATCACACCAGGACTGACCATAATCGCCTGACCACAGTGACCACAGCATAATGCTTAAAGCTGGCTTTTTATAAACAACTGACAGGATAGCGTGGATGGGGGAGAACATTCTAGAACAGTGCGCATAAAAGGAATAATCTACAGGAGCGTGAACAAGAAAGAAGAGTCTAGAACAGTATGAAAGGAGGGAGAACATTCCAGAACAACATGAACAAGGAGAATATTCTAAAATAGCATGAAGGAGGAAAACATTCTAGACAAGAAAGAATGGGAAGAACATTCTAGAACAGTGTGAACGGGTGAGAACATTCTAGAATGGTGGGAATGAAGAAGTAAGTCCAATTACAGTGTGAATAGGAAGAACATTCTACAACAGTGTGCATAAGAAGAATAATCTACAGGAGTGTGAATGGAAAAGGAAGACTCTAGAACAGTGTGAATGGAGGGAGAACATTTCACAACAGCACGAACGAGGAGAATATTCTAGAATAGCATGAATGGGAAGAACATTCTACAGGATCGCGAATCAAGCAACAAGAATCTAGAATACTCTAGTGTGAATGGAAGGAGAACATTCAGCAGAAAAGGGAAGACTATTCTAAAACAATGGGAATGGAGAAGAACGTTCTAGAATAATGTGAATAGCAGGGAATACTCTAAAACAATGTGAAAGAGAACGCCCTAGAGCAGTGTGAATGAGAGAGAAGACTGTGTAACAGTGTGAACGGTGAGAGTTTTGTAGAACAACATGAATGGGGAGAACATTCTAGAACAGTGGAAAAGCAGAAAATATTAAAAAACGGTGTGAATGGAGAGGAATATTCTAGACAGTGTTAACGGACAGAACATTCTAGAATGGTGTGAATGAGGGGAAACATTCCGGACAACAGGGAACGGAAGGAAAAGTTGATAAACAGTGTCGCTGGAGAGAAAGAACATTCTAGAACAGTGTAAATGGGGAGTTGTTCAGTTAACAAGCTGTTATTGTGATACTGAATTTGAAAGTTACAGAGAAATTCCAAAATTTCTGTATAATTAAGTGGTTAAGATGTAAACAGAGTCATTCAGAGTGGTTTGGTGTGAAACGCTCTGTTCTAGAGAAACTTACAGAGTCAGAACTGTCCACAGTGGTGGTGATAGGAACCAGACGTCCACCTCTAAAAGCTCCCTCACAGAAAGTTACTACATGGAATGGTTATGAATTCACTGCCTGATGTCTTGTTTTACAAATATGTTTTGAGAAGATTTTGGCCTAAAATATCATTTTAAATCCATTCATTGTGGAAATTTTTTTTTTTCCCATCATCAACATTCCATATAAACTCAGAAGACTCGTGTAGGTTCACTGGTGGTTTTGATAGTAAATAAAATGTCTATATTTGTGTTGTAGTCATGGCGACCCCTGGTTCCTATCACCACCACTGTAAAGACATCTGGCCCATTTCACACCAAACCACTCTGAATGACTGTCTACGTCTCAGTGACTGAACCACACAGAAAAAGTGGTGGACTTTCCCTTTAAAGGTCAAACATTAGCTTGTTTTGGTCCAGTGTCCAGTCCTGACGTGATTTACTCATCAGTACTTTAACAGCACTTTAAATTATCCCCAAAATCTCATTCACTAAACAAAAAAAATGAGGACGTCTGTTGTTTTTTCATGGGGTAACATTTTATGAACTTTATGAATATTTTGTGTGAATCATCCACAGATTATGAAAGTAGGGACCAAATCAAACATTCACAGGTCACATTCAGGTCAGGGCAGGTCTGTTTGGGCAGCTCTGTTAATGACATTACAGTGATGGACACTACTCCCTAGTGTACAGCAGAGCTCTCACTTTCCACAACACACTACACTACTCACCCACTAGTGTTCTAAACACTGACAGTGTTCTAGATCATATCCTACAGACTACGAGCTACTGTACCGTTTACCTCAGTCTGGAAGCTGTAAATGTGATAGTGAAGGTGTGAGTGCACATAAACACAGGCCCTAGTTATTTAATACAACCTAATATTTAAAATACTGCCACCGCCATGTTACACTTTTACATGTCGAACATTTTATTAGGTGCCCTTTCACACTGTGCGCTCGTTTCCTGATGGACACAACAATTATGGTCCAAAACAACTTGGAATAACATAAACTCTTCTTAGGTTAATGTACAGTGGCCCCCTGGATATTTGTGCCTCACTCCAAGACTTTCATTTTCTGTTTGACACAGCAGTCTTTTAGCAGCTGAGCCTCAGATTGTTATCGCTTGAGCAATTTTTCTCCAGACTGGAATTTCTTCCATGGCTGGAATTATTCTCCAGGCTTTCTCCTCACAAAGACTCCACCACCAGTCTGATGTCGTGCTAAAAGTGTTTTTTTCTCAAAACTATATCATTTTGTTAAACATGTTATTAAGTTCAATAATGGCGAAAAGTGTCCAAATACTTTTTGGGGCCACCGTATTAAGTGTTAAGTTAAGCCTTTTTCCTTCTCCTATAGAGACACGACAGCGACGATACACATCCACCGCATTTTAGATCTGCTTTTGTAGTTGTTTGTTTTGCTAAGAATTTGTCGGAAGACTCCGTCTACAGTAGCTGTTTTATCGTGGCTGGGATTAAACCCCCAATCAAAATCTCACATTCTCACCTGTGTTCTGCTAACTTCAGCCCCGGAAGCGGAGGCTTGGGCGGAGCCACTTCCTCCTCGGAAATGTCCGTCAAACTGTCTGTGGGAGTGGCAATAGGCGTGGTCTTGTTCAAGATTTCCTTCTCCCGCTCCGTTAGAGGCATTTCACACTCACTGAGAGAGGAGAGAGAGAGAGCGAGAGAGAGAGAGAGAGAGAGAGAGCGAGAACGAGAGAGAGAACGAGAATGAGAGAGAGAGGTCTCAGACATGGAATCTGCATGTACATGATTTAAAATGAGAAAATGGGAGGACCAGAAAACACAAATTTATTAATAAACATTCCGACCTGCAATACAATGAATTATACAGAGTATACAATTAATAAATCCTCCTATTCAGTTACAGCAGTTTAGATCCTCCCATTCAGCCCACAGCAGTTTAGCTCCTCCTATTCAGCCCACAGCAGTTTAGCTCCTCCTATTCAGCCTACAGCAGTTTAGCTCCTCCTATTCAGCCCACAGCAGTTTAGCTCCTCCCATTCAGCCCACAGCAGTTTAGCTCCTCCCATTCAGCCCACAGCAGTTTAGCTCCTCCTATTCAGCCCACAGCAGTTTAGCTCCTCCTATTCAGCCCACAGCAGTTTAGCTCCTCCTATTCAGCTACAGCAGTTTAGCTCCTCCTATTCAGCCTACAGCAGTTTAGCTCCTCCTATTCAGCCCACAGCAGTTTAGCTCCTCCTATTCAGCCCACAGCAGTTTAGCTCCACCTATTCAGCCCACAGCAGTTTAGCTCCTCCCATTCAGCCCACAGCAGTTTAGCTTCTGCCATTTCACCTACAGAACTTTAGCTCTGCCCACTCAGCCTATTTTAACATGGTCATGCTGGGCCTGTGCCCTGCAACAGAATCCTCCTATTCAAGAGGCCTTGTGGAAAATAACCATGATAAACAGTCAACCTGGTTAACTGATCATTTTGAGGCGCACACAGTATTGATATTGTAGAAGGCTATAATATGCAAATGACCCCCTTAAACTAATCACAGTGTCATTTATTGTGTGCTTTGATCATCCTGACCCACTTCAGTTGGGTTTCTGTGGGTTTTTTGATGAATCAAGGTACCCATGTAATCCAACAAGAGTAAACTATTCTGATTATAATCATGCAGGTTAATCTGTAACCCTTTAACCAAATCACATTATCAATTCAGTGCTTTATAATACACAGCAATACAATTAAAGTAATAATATATGCACACACACACAGAAACTATACCTCTCGGGTTTGGCCACAGGGGGCACTGGCTTGCTGGGAGATGTCGGGGATGGCTGCTCTTGCTTCTCTATAGTCAGTTTCACCAACTCCTGTTACACGCACACACACACACACACACACACACACACACAAACACACACACACAAACACACGTCAATGTAAAAAAAAAGGTTCCTTGTGCAACCTGCTACGCTAAAGTCCCTCCCAAACCACTGTGAATAATATAATCCCATACACAACCACTGAAGGTCAAAGTAAACAAACACAAACTTCTGAACCGCTTACCTTCACACCATCCAGCACCGCCTTTATCACCGTGGTAACGGTTGTCACAGTGTCCTTGTCGTCAAGGTCGATGCCTTCCAGCATCACCTGGTCAGACCAGCGGATGAGATTAGCCAAACTCTGATACACTCGATTATGACAGGAGGATATGGCCGAGCTAGAGAGCGAGAGAGGGAGAGAGAAAGAGGGAGCGAGAGAGAGAGAGACACACAAACACAGCTGAATTTGAATTTCTACACGTCAGCTGATCCAAATATTGCTGTAACTCCTAACCAGATTCCTAACCATAAACATGACCTAAACCTCAACTGTAACCAGAACCACATCACTGCATAAACATCAGAGATCACTTCATTTATTTCATTTCCAGTCAAAACAGCCATCAGGGTTAAGTTTTTCATTTTTCAGGACACATTTCTGCGGATGGAACTGAGGAAAGTCAAAGAAAACCAAGGAAAAAAGCAGGAGTTTCCAAAACAGATTAAAATCTACAGAGAAAGTCTGCCTCCTAACAACCACCTGGAAGAGCTGGTCGACCCCAAAACTGGCCCCCATCAGATAAACAGCACTTAAAGCTTTCATCTCTGAGAGAGAGGAGAAAATCAAGCTGCTTCAGATCTGAAAACATCCACAGGTGTTTCTGTCCATCCTTCCACTGTGAGAAGCCGACTCAGCGCTGTGGGTCTGAAAGGATGTGTAGCTGATCAAGAAGAACCTCACTGAGAAAAGGAGACGGACACATCAAACAAAGAAGCTGAACGATGGACTGACCACCCCAGAGTCCAGACCTCAACACCACTGAATGTGTTTGACTACTTCAGAAAATCATCAACCAGCTTCTAAGACTGAACTTTGGAGGAGTGTCTGCAGATTCTTTGAGGAACTGAAAGTGAGTCTCCTGAACAGAATGGAAGCTGGAATGAAGGCAAAGACTAAATATTGAAATATCATATTTAGTCGTTGATGCTTCTGTGTGTTTTTCTGCTAAATATGTTTCTGCTTTTTAATAACTAATGAATAACTAGTACTTAATAACTGTTCTGTTAAGTTAAATAACTGAAAAGTGGTCTCTGACTCTGACACAGTGCTGTGCAACTACAAACACACACACAGCCACACAAACATCCTCCTACCAAACATGTAAACATCTTACACACACGTCCTCTCCTACCTGTGTTGGACTCTTGCCTCCACCTGCACGAGAGGCAGAATGGCCTCCAGAACTTTGCTGGCGGATCCTGGCAGCATCTGCAGCACTTTGGAATCCACTGCCATTTTGTCCACGATGGTTTTAAAATACCGCAGCGCGCTCACCACCTCCTTCTCCTGCTCCTCCAATCGGCTCACCTTCTGTACAACAACGTGAATATTAAACAGGGTTAATAAAGGGACTCAGAAAAGGTTCCCACTGTGCTCCAGTCTTTATGGTTGGGAGGCTGCAGCTTAGAAGAAAAACGGCTGTAGTTCATGCTGAGTTAACTGAGCCATGAAGACCAAAACTGAGATTATGCTGAGTGCAGCTGTGAGATATACCAATGTGCTTGTCAGCTAATGGTTAGCCCCATGTTAGCCCGTAGTTAGTCCCATGACCAGGGGTCAGCAACCCAACTGTTAAGAAGAGCCATTTTGTCCTTTCAACAAAAATCTAACCACCATGAGAGCCACAACATTTAACGTCCATTTTACCATCTTGGCTGTAAATATGTCTCGGTATGTGCTGAAGTACTAGTATAGGATAAAAAGTATAACATAAGTAAGAATCCAGACTTAAGCTTTAGCTCAGTTAAAGCTGCCTTTCTCGCATCTCCAGCAGGAAACTTTTCCTCAAAAGTAGAACAGTTTCTTGTAAAACGTCTCTCAACGTTCGACTTTTTATGAGGCTGAAGTTGCTTCTCATTCGCCAGCTTCTTGTTTGAATTTTCCCATTCCGACTTAAATGACTGCAGCACCATTTAAGGTGGAACGGGAAAAGTTCATTGAGAAACTGACTTCAGCGTTGTGACTTTTTAGTGTTTGACAGTTTCTCGTTGCAGATTAAACGTATCAGGAAACCAGCTGGAGTGATTATAAATGCGAATAAGTCTATTTGCCTCCAAATTATCAATGTTCGTCTTAAATCTTTTTCTTTACCTTTTCGTTAGCTTTTAGCTAGGCCAGATTGTTGTCTATGTTGCTATGGTGACCAGCAGTCTGCGCTGATCATCAGGGTTTAAAGGGTGAATCAGCAAGTCTACATTAACTCCAGTGTTTAAGACCATTTATTGTTAAACTGTGTTGAACGATCAGCAGAGCTTTATTTTACTGTAAAGGAGGATTATTTTATTTTTACCTACTAATCTAATTCAGCTGTGGAGCCACAACAGGGCAGTAAAAGAGCCGCATGTTGCCGACCCCTGACCGTGACACAAAAGCTTAAAAGCTGCAAGCTATTAACTTTATGCTATTAGTTGTTTTATTATGCATATGATCTGGTTTGCTGATTAATATTAAATCACTGACTAAAACTGCTGGTTATCAGTCAAAGGAATTTGCAAAAGTTTAGCCTCCCTAGTTGGACAGTGTAGTATAGAGTTAGCTTGTGTAGAATTGTGTTGGTATGTGTGGTTTAGAGTTAGTTGTGTAGTTCGTAGAGCTGTTAGAGTGCAGAGGTCATGCAGAGTTGCCGCTGGTACCCTGTTGACTGGTTTCTCCGTGCTTTTGACGGCCGGCTCCGGCGGGTGCTGCTTGCCCTTCTTGGAAGGCGTGCGCTTGATCTTGGGGGAATGGAACTTATCCATCAGCTTCATGGTGAAGGAGGAGAGGTGTGACCTCTGGGAGTCTGCAAATCAGGAGAAAGAGAGGGATTAGAAAAGGAGAAGAAGGAGACAAAGAAGAGGAGGAATAAAAAGAAGGATTTTTCTCCTTTTCCTTTTTTCTGTTTACATAATAACTAGAGACTCGCAATGCACGCTGGCACACCTTCGGCCGATGTGGTGATCGATGGTGCGCTACAAATCACACTGTGAGATTTTATAGTGCCCTCAAAATTACTCTGGAATTCCAGTTCATGATTTGGACACTCACAGAAAAATGGCCGACGTGGGTAATAGTGCCCTTAAACGCAAACGTCCAAATGGGATGCATTTGGAACACAGCCAAACACAGTTTAGTATGTAATGGAAGGCCCAATCCCATTTTACTCCTTGCCCCTACTTCTTAGCCCTTAGCCCTCTGTTTTGCGTGTTCACGTCTAGGGGTGGGGTGTCCCGACTGTTGTTGAGATAGAGGGGTACATGACAGTGTTGGGGCTACATGACCCTCCAAATGGAGGCTTTTCAGAGACTCCAAACAGAGATATGAGAAAAAAAAATAACGGCAAGATGGCTGAACAAAAGATCAAAGAATTCACACACACACACACACACACACACACACACACACACACACACACACACACACACACACACACACACGTCACACAATTGTGAGAATTTTCTCTGTTAAAAATTACAATAACCACTGTTTTATCTTAGTTTAATGTTGTTTCAGTGTATTATGGTCCTTTTATTCACAAAAAGCATTAACAATCACTAACAGATCGGATACGTATCGGATTTCAGCACCACATCTGGAAGCGTCTCAAATCGGAATTGAAAATGTCAGATTCAGTGTGTTTATCTGTTCACACTGACACACAGACACACATCTGAGTCACATATGAGGAAAAGATTGGATTTGGGCCACTTTTACCCGCTGTGTGAACACAGCCTAACCGTTCACCGTTGCTGTTTCTGAGCTGAAGATTAGCAGCTGTTATCTTGAAGACTTCAGATCGGTGATCATCAACCCTGATCATGGAGATCTACCTTCCTGCTGAGTCGGGTTCCGACCACCATCTGCCACACCTGTCCCTGATAGGCAGGATCAGATGTATCACTGTCAGGAAAGTGCAGAGCAGCGTGTTAGATGCAGGTTGGAAGTAAACTACGCAGTAAAGTAGATCTCCACGAAGAAGGCTGGTGACCACTGCTTTAGACTGACCCCTTTCTCGTACCAAAGACGCAGAGTGGCCTCACTGTCTCTGCACCGGTATTCCGTAGCCTGTAACCTTAAGAAGTCTATACTTGTATTGGAGGGGTTATTATTTAAATATTTTTGATTAATGTTTCACAAATTGAAATATGAAATTTGAGTGAAAGGTCCATCCCTAGCGTGGCCTCTCCAGCGGAATATCTCAAGTACAGCAGACGTACAAGCGCTGCCCACAGAGTGATAAGCATCACCACACAGACAAGCTCACTCCCACCGGAGACAAACACAAACAAACTCAGCTGCTCTGAGGAGCTTTATCATAATTGGAATTTCATGGAGCGCGATTGGGCGAGAGCGATAGTGTCAAACATGTTAGGGCTGCCAGATTTCAGCCAGGGCAAAACCGGACGGGCTTTGGGGGGGGTGGTGGTGTTGGAGGGGGTCTTCAGCAAGTATACAAAAATAGGTCCATCACGACTGAAATATTAGCTGATGATTAAATGCAGAACTCATCACGATTTACAATTTTATCATCTGTTTTTATTGTATTTCTTCTGTCAATCAGCGCTCAGTAGCAGTGACGCCAACCAATCAGCTGTGGAGAAATGATCACTTTGTTTTCTTTCTTTTTTCTTTCTTCTTCCTGAATAAATGGCCAGAAACTGGTTTAATTTTTCATTTTTAGCCGTTGAGCTCCATCCACACCCATTCATTGAGGACTCGCTCGCGGGCGCCATCTAGAACCGTGAGAAATATGAAGCGGCCAGGCTCCCTTTAGACGAGCTCCTGTATCAGCGCTGCTCTCCGAGCCACACCGGAGACTGGAATGTAGGGGTGTGTGAGATGGCTGATAACTCTGCAGGAAACCGTGCAGTGTGTGTATTATAGTTTTTGTGTGTGTGTGTGTTTTGGTGTGAACGTTGACGGTCATTGTTGCAGCGAGGGGCTCTGCCTTTCCGTCCTGACCGTGCCCAGAAGAATGCCTTGTGGATTGGGGAAGTCATATTGTAACCAAAATGAGCTGGAACCACACCTCAGCATGAGAACACACACACTTAGACGCCGCACGTTTACGCTTGATAAACGGAGAGACTGACCAGCCGGATTACTGACCAGGGCCAATATTAACGACTGCTCGACTGCCCAGTAAAATGCTAAGTCAGGACAGCAGCGGTGACGATCACTTGCTTCACTTGATTCTCCGCTCTAGAGAAACTTACCGAGTCAGAACTGTTCACAGTGGTGGTGATAGGAACCAGACGTCCACCTCTAAAAGCTCCCTCACAGAAAGTTACTACATGAAACGGTTATGAATTCACTGCCTGATATCTGAGGGTTTGTTTTCTGATAGTTTTAGCATAAATCATATACAGTTTTTAGTGTGTTAAAATGAAAAGATTTTCATGGTTATACGATATGCATCACATTATTTAGTTTTTCTGAGATTTAGTAAGTTGGAACAGACAAAATAATAACCTGTAAAGCAACATATAAAAAATACTATAATAATAATAATAATAAACCTAAACAGGGCCTAATTATGCTCACTTTATAACTAAACATGTAATAGGTCAGTGTTCTTTAAGTGCTGACAATATTCATGATACTCTCAGGAAAACCTTTTTTCATGGCTGGTTGTTGTTGCTACAGTTACAGGCGAATAAGGTGGAGTGACACAGGAATTCACAGACGCTGACATAGAGCCTCTCAGCCAGTCTCACTGCCAGGTCCAGCGCATTGTTTCATGCCAGCCGACAAGGGAAACTAACTGGTACACAAGGTAGTTTTAGAGCACGCGTGTCAGGCTCCAGTCCTCGCGGGCCAAAACACTGCAGACTTCAGCTCACTGCCTCACTAAACACACCTGATTCAGCTCAGCAGCTAATTAAAGCCTTCCTGAATTGAGTTCAGAGGGTCAGATGAAGGTAAACGCTGATCTCCACAATACTTTGGCCTGGAAGATCCCCAGTTTGACGTGTTTTAGAGTGACATAAAACACCAAAAAAGACCAATAAACTGTTCATTATACGCGGTTCCAGCTGCCTCTTAAGAAGATGGGAAATGAACGAGAACTAGAACCGTAAATCCAGTCGGTTTATGTTTGATTCAGTGCGTGTGTTTGAACGTGCAGTGGGAGAACTCTCTTATAAAGTGAATGCTTCTTTATCAAACGACAAAAAATAACCACGCAAGGTCGCGAAGTTACTGACCTGGAAAGATCAGTCAAAAACATAATTCTGTTTCCAATATCTTCGTTAATTAACTCTCAGGATTAGTCTAAAATCCTGCTGCACCTGCATTATCCACCCAAAATGAATTCTTTGCTGTTGTGATGTAACACTGACTTGACCTAAAACAGATCATAATCTGGATTAACGTTCTGAAACGTACCTGTAGGTGCAGACAGTTCTGCCCTCTGGAGTACAGGATTAGTCTAAGATGAGAAACTGGGGTAACGTAATTATTACCAGAGTGACTCTGTGATTTCAGACCCATCTCAGTCTGTAATATCAGATATATATGTCTGTAAAGATTACAGTGGCTTTTACCTACTTTAATACAACTCGTAGAGAGAGATTAACACAAAACATGACAGGATATTTACTGACGTCTTTAGTTGGGACTGAAATAACCTGAACTCGAGGACTTTCTGCGAATTTTTCTCACGCATGTGAACTCGAGGAAGCACCTACTTCAACAAGTTTCATGTTCTACAGAAAAAACTAATCCCATCTGAATAGTAGTTCAGCTGGAGTGGGGAAGCAATGGAGCGTGGGTAATGTAGTATGTTAAAAATACCACTACTGAATCCATACGACAGATCAATCTCACACACACACTATTCAGCAGTCAATAGCTGCTACACAACACGTCCCATTCTGCACACGGTTCAAAGGTCTTGATTAGCTGAATTTGTCTTACCTGCTATTAGTATTTTGATCGTTTGACATCCCCGATAAAAATAAACCCAAAACAACACCAAATACGTTTGTCTACTGGGATGGTCAGTTTCAGAACTGTGCTGCCCCAAATCAGGCTAATCCTTACAGCCAGTACTGAGGCTTTCCTTCCCAATTTGCCTCATGTCAAAGAAAAGGAATGGCAGCTCTATTTCTGTTATTAAACTGTTCAAAATGGCCGTCGCTAGTATTGATATCATCGCATTTCAAGGTGTAAAAGGGAGCAGTAAGTGCTCCTCACAGAAATCAGTACACACTTCTCCACTGTTATTTGAGAGTCAGTGTTTGTTAGTAAGTACATTTTCTTTATACAGCACATTTAAAACCAAAGTGCTTTAAAATTAAACACAGAAAGGATTCCCACCTTCCGATCACCACCACCGCACATCACCACAACAGAGCGCAGTCTGACAGTTCAGCAGCTGCTGACAGCTAATCGATTAAGGTGTGTTTTAAGTCTGTTTTTAAAAGCACAGACGGAGCCCAACGTCACTTAGGAGGCGGCAGCAAAAGCACGATCTTGTTTTTGTTTACGGTGAGACCGTGGAACAGTTATAAGAGACTGGGACGCAGACCTTAAAGATCTTGAGGGTGCATATACATACAACGCATGTCCACAACATATCGTCACTGTCCACAGAAAATCATGCATCTCCGTTTTTGGCGATTTTCATTTTTCTTTAAATTTCAATATCGCAGTTCTCCTCTGCACTGTGTGAACATTTCATGATGATTGGACTAAAAAAAAAGCCCCAAAATCAGTTACAATAAAAACTTCCATTAAAAGTTAAGGCCGTTTACCATTTTGGAGATACTTGTTTTCTTTGGACAGCGACGATGTGCAGCT